CGATACAGTGATATGATGTACAATATAGATGATATTCAACAAAGATGATGAATGATGCAAATAGCACTCGATACAGTGATATGATGTACAATATAGATGATATTCAACAAAGATGATGAGCTATGCAAATAGCACTCGATACAGTGATATGATGTACAATATAGATGATATTCAACAAAGATGATGAATGATGCAAATAGCACTCAACACAGTGATATGATGTACAATATAGATGATATTCAATCCAGATGATGAATGATGCAAATAGCACTCAACACAGTGATATGATGTACAATATAGATGATATTCAATCCAGATGATGAATGATGCAAATAGCACTCAACACAGTGGTATGATGTACAATGTAGATGATATTCAACAAAGATGATGAATGATGCAAATAGCACTCGATACAGTGATATGATGTACAATATAGATGATATTCAACAAAGATGATGAGCTATGCAAATAGCACTCGATACAGTGATATGATGTACAATATAGATGATATTCAACAAAGATGATGAATGATGCAAATAGCACTCAACACAGTGATATGATGTACAATATAGATGATATTCAATCCAGATGATGAATGATGCAAATAGCACTCAACACAGTGATATGATGTACAATATAGATGATATTCAATCCAGATGATGAATGATGCAAATAGCACTCAACACAGTGGTATGATGTACAATGTAGATGATATTCAACAAACATGATGAATGATGCAAATAGCACTCGATACAGTGATATGATGTACAATATAGATGATATTCAACAAAGATGATGAGCTATGCAAATAGCACTCGATACAGTGATATGATGTACAATATAGATGATATTCAACAAAGATGATGAATGATGCAAATAGCACTCAACACAGTGATATGATGTACAATATAGATGATATTCAATCCAGATGATGAATGATGCAAATAGCACTCAACACAGTGGTATGATGTACAATGTAGATGATATTCAACAAAGATGATGAATGATGCAAATAGCACTTAACACAGTGATATGATGTACAATATATATGATATTCAACAAAGATGATGAGCTATGCAAATAGCACTCAACACAGTGATATGATGTACAATATAGATGATATTCAATCCACATGATGAGCTATGCAAATAGCACTCAACACAGTGATATGATGTACAAAATGATATTCAACAAAGATGATGAGCGATGTAAGAAACATTCAACACAGTGGTATGATGTACAATATAGATGATATTCAACAAAGATGATGAGCTATGCAAATAGCACTCAACACAGTGATATGATGTACAATATAGATGATATTCAACAAAGATGATGAGCTATGCAAATAGCACTCAACACAGTGATATGATGTACAATATAGATGATATTCAATCCAGATGATGAGCTATGCAAATAGCACTCAACACAGTGATATGATGTACAATATATATGATATTCAACAAAGATGATGAGCGATGCAAATAGCACTCAACACAGTGATATGATGTACAATATGATATTCAATCTAGATGATGAGCGATGTAAAAAACATTCAACACAGTGGTATGATGTACAATATAGATGATATTCAACAAAGATGATGAGCTATGCAAATAGCACTCGATACAGTGATATGATGTACAATATAGATGATATTCAACAAAGATGATGAATGATGCAAATAGCACTCAACACAGTGATATGATGTACAATATAGATGATATTCAACCCAGATGATGAGCTATGCAAATAGCACTCAACACAGTGGTATGATGTTCAATATAGATGATATTCAACAAAGATGATGAGCTATGCAAATAGCACTCGATACAGTGATATGATGTACAATATAGATGATATTCAACAAAGATGATGAGCTATGCAAATAGCACTCGATACAGTGATATGATGTACAATATAGATGATATTCAACAAAGATGATGAATGATGCAAATAGCACTCAACACAGTGATATGATGTACAATATAGATGATATTCAACCCAGATGATGAGCTATGCAAATAGCACTCGATACAGTGATATGATGTACAATATAGATGATATTCAACAAAGATGATGAATGATGCAAATAGCACTCAACACAGTGATATGATGTACAATACAGATGATATTCTACATAGATGATGAGCTATGCAAATAGCACTCAACACAGTGATATGATGTACAATACAGATGATATTCTACATAGATGATGAGCTATGCAAATAGCACTCAACACAGTGATATGATGTACAATATAGATGATATTCAACAAAGATGATGAACTATGCAAATAGCACTCAACACAGTGATATGATGTACAATATGATATTTAACCCAGATGATGAATGATGGAAATAGCACTCGACACAGTGGTATGATGTACAGGCCCGTAAGACACTTTTTTCCAAGGGGGGTGCGGTTTTTAGCTTACTAAAGAAAATATAAAATTGTCAATTTTTTTGTCGCGTAAATCAAATCCCGTAAGACAGAGGCGGGGGGGGGGTCAGTTACTCCCTATATTGGTTTGGAATTAACAAATGCAACTTCCAAACGTTCCAATTGTTTTGTGGGGGGTGTGAGGAGTGGTCCACTCCCCCTAGAAAATTTTACAGTTTTGAGATGCTATTTGGTGCTTTCTGGGCACTTTCAAAGTGTAAGTTTCTAAGTAGTACGCCACCACCACAAGAATAAGAGTTGAGTGATTAAAAACTGAGCATTCAGGGGGTCTGGGGGTTCTCCCCCAGGAAAATTTTGAAATTTGCTTGTATTTGGAGCAAATTTGCAACCATCTGGTACGCCTGTGCGTTATGATCCAATAAGAATTTTTTTCAAATTCTTTTGGGGGTGTCAAAGAGGATGAGAGGGTGAAGTGGGGCGGGGTGCCAGTAGGGGAGCAAGGGGTTGTCCCCCAGAAACATTGACCATATCAAGATGCTATTTGATGATGTCTGGGAACTTAAAAAATGTCTGAGACAATACATGAGATTCAGAATATTTATTTTGTTTTGTGGGGATGTGAGGGGTGGCTAACTCTCCTAGAAAATATTACAATTTAAAGATGATATTTGGTGCTTCTGGGCACTTTTAAAGGTATTAGTCAATAAAAACATTGAAAAACAATCACAATTTTTTTCAAATTTTGGGGGTGTCAAAGGGGAGGAGGGGTGTCAGAGGGGGAGGTGGGGCTGGGGTGCCAGAGGGGAAGCAAGTGTTTGTCCCCCATATCAAAGTTTACAATATCAAGGTGCTATTTGATGAAGTTTGGGCACTTTAAAACTGTCTGTGCCTAAAAGCGCATATTTCCCAAGAAAATTTTACAATTTTAAGATGCTATTTGGTGCTTTCTGGGCACTTTCAAAATGTATGAGTCAATAAAAGAATTTGAAAAATCTCAAGTTTTTTTTTGGGGGGAGGGGGGTGTTAAGGGGGGGGGGGGCTGCCAGAGGGGGAGGTGGAGTGGGGATGCCAGAGGGCGAGTAAGTGTTAGTCTTCCAGAATCATTAACTTTATCAAGGAGCTATTTGATGATGTCTGGGCAATTTAAAAGTGTCTGAGACAATACATAAAACAAATTCAGAACTTTTCCATTGTTTTGTTTGGGGTGTGAGAGGTGGTCCCCTCCCCCTAAAAAATTTTACAATTTTACGACGCTATTTGGTGCTTTCTGGGCATTTTCAAATTGTATGAGTCAATTAAAGATTTTGAGAAAATCACATTTTTTTGGATGGGGGGGGTCAAGGGAGGCGCCAGAGGGGGGGGGGGGTTATGCAAGTGCAAGATGCAAGAGGGGAAGAAAGTCCCCCAGAAACACTAACTATATCAAGGAGCTATTTGATGATGTCTGGGCACTTTAAAAGTGTCTGAGACAAAACACTAAAACAAAAACTTTTTCATTGTTTTGTGGGGGGTGTGAGGGGTGGCCAATACCCCTAGAAAATTTTACAATTTTAAGATGCTATTTGGTGCTTTTTGGGTACTTTCAAAGTGTATGAGTCAATGAAAAAAAATTACAAAAAAAATTACAAAAAATTTTTTTTTTCTAATTTTTTTTTCATATTTATTTTGGGGGGTAACAAAGGGGGGTGCGGTCGCACCCATCGCACCCCCCCCCATCTGACGGCCCTGATGTACAATATATATGATATTTAACAAAGATGATGAGCGATGAAAATGGCACTTAACACAGTGATAATAACTAATTTCTAACACCACCTTCCCCCCTCCAATCGAGAGTCAGGACATTTCATTCATACAAAAGTCATTACAACACATGTTGAAGAAAAAATCGATACTCGTAAGAGTAATAACATCAAAAAAGGTTGTAGATAGTATGGTAGATACTAGTAGTAATAGTTAGCATAGGATTTGATCTTGTTTTTCAGATTAACTAAGATAGACATCCATTCGCAAAGCAGTTGCCACAATACATAAAACACAATAATTCACAATGGTCATCAGGAGAAAAATATGGCTCGTAGATGAAGTTCAAAGTGAAGTATATTCAGCAATTTGTACAATGAACAAGATACTTAGCATAACTGATGTACAAGAGGATACCTCACATGGTGCACAGTATTAAAGGGAATTCCATTCAGACCATGTAGAAAACACTCAGCAACAGAACACACAAGTCAGTGCTCTCCTCAGGACTTTTTTGTGTGGAGGACTTTGCTATTTTCTAGTGCAACAATTTAGTACTAGTATTTTGTAACGTTTTGTGGAACTTTCCATGATTTTGTAATTTTTTGTGCAACTTTTCATGATTTTGTAATTTTTTGTGCAACATTTTAGAATTTTGTAATTTTTTGTTGTAATACTTTAGGAGGCACAATCTAATTGCATTGAGGAGCATTTTGGTTTTATAAAATACATGGAGGTGCTGTGCCTCAGATATTTCAATGTGGGGAGAGCATTACAAGTAATGAGCTACTGAACAACATGGGGAAATGTATACAAAGAGAAAAGATGTGACAGATTGTAATAATGCACTTTACCTGTGAAATCCATTGTTTTTAGATGACCTATGTAGATCTGTGTGCCACTGAATATTCTGATTACAACAGACATTAACTAAACAGATATTCCATAGTAATAGTAGAACCCCTGTTAGATTTTCAAATTTGATTTTCAATGAGATGACCATTCTGCTTCTGTGCACTTATTTCTTCATTTGTAACATTCTGCAGATACTTTGAGTAAACTTTGGAACTTTTATTGATCAGAAACATATCTTCTCCTGGATTAGAATTTCAATAAACCATTGAGCTTCCATTCTGGAAATAAAATCAAACATTTCAAATGTTTAATAAATTTTGGCCTAAAGCTCCTGACAGATTCATGAGCTTCTCGATAAATATACTTGCCATATTATTGCTGTAATAGCATTTGAACAATACAGGCTCTCTTTGCTCTGTAAAACACAACATGTAAATACATTTTTAAGCCTGGATGTACTACATGTACATATAAGTTTGTTTTATTCTCCAAAAAGCTACAGTATGTATTTATTTTCCATATTTCTCTGAGAAATAGGTAAATACAAAATAAGGCATTGATGCCATGGCATACCCAATGGCATAGGCTATGAGACTCCCTGTACCATCGGCTCTAGAACACTGCGTGTATCTAAATAAATTTTGGTGAGAGGCTCAAGAACAATGTTTGTAAGGGTAGACATCTAGGCAATCACAATCTACATGAATAGTGTTCAAAATAGTGTCCAAGAGCCTATGGCACAGGGGGTGCCATAACCTATACCATAGGGTATGCACATAACCTATACCATAGGGTATGCAATGGCACTGTGCCATATTTTGTACTCACCCCTGAGTAACTTTCCTCATTTCCAAAGTGAGGGAATTGATTTCAAAATATCCAACTAAATATTCACAGTGAGCACTATCTATTCTAAATACTGATATTTGCCAGTTGCCACTCTATAATATACTATAGAGGATAGATGGTGCTGACTTTGTAAAAACTGTCTACTATGGTAATTTCTGAGATGTAAACATATTGAACTGTACTCCTGGTAATTTGTGCATGCTACTATAGTCAAAACACTAATGTTTGTGAGTACTTTGAATTTAAAAAATAAGCAATCAAATGACCATATTGAAACAGTTTATGTAAAAATAGAAACATTTATATTTATCCTAACTTTTGTATATTTTAGTTTGTTTTGTAGTATAGCTATCATATCTGTGTCCTCTGATATTTTGATACTTCTCAGCCATGTTATTTTCGGAAAAATAAACATGAAACTCCCTAAATTACAAAAGGCCACAGCTTTGCTGCACATTATACATTACTATCTGAAATATACAAAAGTTAGGATAAATATAAATGTTTCTAATTTTACATAAACTGTTTCAATATGGTCATTTGATTGCTTATTTTTTAAATTCAAAGTACTCACAAACATTACTGTTTTGACTATATATTTCGAAAAGCACAAAATATAATAGCCTCAAATATCAACTGGGAGTACTGTTCAGTATTTCAAAACTGCAGATCTCAGAAACTACTAAACCTACATGTCGAATATTCAGTCTTGCTGAAACAAAAACAACCTGTATACTGTAGTGTATTTCCAGTTGATCCACAGCCAGTCAGTGACTCGATGCCTGTCTAATGCCCCTCTTATGCTTTAACTCATTGTTAGTCTGAGGTGCATGTCTCTCTATCTTACTTACAGTAGTTAGATCTTAGCTCTATACGTTTTTTATCTTTCTATCAACATTATGACTGACAACTTGTTTTACATGTTTGCATCTATGACAACTTCCGGGTTATGAATTATTTTAATTTTTGGACATCAGAAGATATGAAATTGTCATCACATTGAAATCCCACGTATACCAGTTATCATTAGTTTTCAAATGACCCAATTCATCAAACGTGTGTTAAGAGGAATATTTAGTAGATATCTATATAAAACCTTACCATCTAATCATTGCATCTAATGAGCTTTCATTTCTTTCAAATTTCCAACGCCGGATTACGCTGAATATTTTTCTCACTTTTTAAACTTTAGACAACATCAATAAATAGAAGACTACACTTATTAGTTGTTATTAAACGTCGAAAAATTTAATTATTCTAACAAATGAAAGGAATATTGAAGTAAAGTGACTTTGGTAAACTCTTTGAGATTCACTCCTGACGACTTGTGCCTAGACTTCCGGTTTGGTTTTATTCCTCGAAATATTTATATTTACTTGTATATCTGCGTGTGTACAGAGATAAACAGAATTATATATGAAGTCAGTAATTTGAAACGACATGGGGTCTTTGTTTTCCAAGAAGAAGCCAGAATCTAGAGTTACCGAACAAGACAAAGCTATCTTGGTAAGTGACTACTTTTATTAGGCCTACCTTTTTGTAGGTAAAATTATGGCAGTGGCTGTACTAGTCTTCAATAATACGGTATGAGCTGCCATTGATCTAATGTTCATGAGTAAACTGCAAGGAAAATGTAGTTCTACAAGTAGAACTCAATGTACGGCCTTCTTTATTATTCTGATCTTTCTTTGATACTGATAGCCATACATTGCAAGCTATGCAACCATGAGTCACATTTTTTCGATCGCTGGAAACAAAGTTATCTTGATAATTTACGACAGATACTTGATAGTAATATAATAACACCTACCACCAATTGATTCAAAACATCCTTTCTGCGTAAAATATTCATCTTATCATTGAAAATGTGGCTATTCTTCTGAGCTTCTGAAATGAATAATTTCCTTGTGCCATTTTTGTTTGAAGTCAAACTTTTCGCGTCAAATGAAATTGATGTCGAATAAATTGACGAACTCCCATGCAGTATCTCGGAATAGTATGTTGACGACTAGCACAGCCACGGAGTATGATAAATTGATAGTTGTCTAAAATCGTTTCGTAAAGTATTCCAGGGAATATTAAATGGAGAATAACATGTTTAATGTACTTATCAATGGCGTTTCATTCTGTGTGTCAACATGATTTCAGATTTGCCATTTAGATGTTACTGTAACCTCAACCAACTTTTCCAAACAATTTTGAAAGCTGTCTCGAATACTTCTGAATGTATTCATCATAAAAGACACAGGGGGATATCGGATTGTGTTGGTGTTTGGCAGTTGGCATATGTAACATGTAGCTTATGTAACAAATGACAGGTGGTGACATTTTGCATGTCAATGCCTTGTTTTAGTTTTTGTTATCACCTTTTGGAGCTATGTTTTGACCAGCTACTGTGTGTATTGTACCAAATGCCATAATACTGATGCGCATGGTACCCAAAGGCGCTATACCGAATGCCATAATACTGATACGCATTGTACCAAAAAGTTTTCAAATGTGACTTGTAACATATCTATACGCCTAATGGCCACAGGATCACAGGCTGGTATTGGAAGATTTGTCCTCTGTGACGGAGCATGTTATTTTTCATAAAAACACTAAGAAAACCGCACAATTTATTTTAAACTCATATGTTTCATTATACCAAGGAAAGTTACTTACTCCAATGCAATGGATGTATCATTTGCGGGTAACTTTCACTTCTGTTTGAAGTCCAATAACGTTGGGAGGAAAAGCTATTGAAAATGGCCTCGGAGTATCATACTCCAAAATGTTCCATTTCTTGTTAAACTTTTTAATGGCACAATATAGTGACACAATAATATTTGCATATGTTTTCAGCATTACTATGAAGGCATTAATGAGATGTTGATGTATTGGGTCTTTTCAATTCTTTTATAAAAAAGAATGTTTATATTTTTGCATGTAAAATACATTAAAATCTTTTTTGAATGAAAAGTGATTTAATGGGCGATAATTTGTCATGTGTGGTTTTATAAACTTTATAAATAAGATCACACATGACAAATTATGAACCTTTAAATCACCTTTTCATTCAAAAAAGTTTTTAATGTTTTTTACATGCACTTTTTACATGTTATAAAACTGGTGATGTCTTAAACAAATGCAAACCGTAAACTGTGAACTTAATCTAGTTTGTCCCATAGTCTGTTTGTTGACCTGAGAAAGGTCTAGAGACACCTCAAAATGTCACCACCTCAAAATGTCACCACCTAGTTGCTCACAATATTATTAGTTCAATCTTCAACTCTGTAGATGATTTTGAAGCAAAGCATTTGAAGCAATTCATTCACATGTTTCACGTACAATGCATACAATAAATAGCCTAGTGCCCCATTACACAGTCTGATATCGCTCGGAACGCACCATTAAAGGTTTAAAATCAAAAAATTTCCAAAGGGGGTATGCCCCAAACTCCCCTGGTTTTGCTCGGCCTTCGGCCTCACATACCTGCTATCAAAATCCTGGTTACGCAGCTGGAATGAGAAATTAAGTATAATGCAGGGTGGCAACATTACAACAGCTTTTTTATGATATGAAATAGCTACCCACACATTTCAATAAATCATGACATATTTTTGCTCATTAACAACGTTACATGAAGGTTTTATTATGATATGAAAGAGTTAATAATACATAATTTTTTAGTCCCTGAACTTTGGAAGCTGCCAATATGTTGCATTGGCCAAGATGCCCCACTTGGGCTGTGATTCTGGGGTGATTGCAGCTTTGAGTGTCTCATTCTTGATAAAGGCACTTTGTTGCTGTTTTTGCCTGGTCTCTCTAATTGTTAATGATTTTCAATAATAATCATAATCTACCATCTTCTATTTAAGCCATATTACTTTTAAAATTATGTTGTGAGCAGGGGCGTCAGAAGTATTTGCTAAGGGAGGGGGCGACTTTTGGATATGGATACATAGGACGTGCGTGAGTCAGGGGGGGGGGGCATGTCCCTAGAAAATTCTCAAATTTAGGCCCTCTCTGGTGCATTCTGAACATATATCAGCACAACACCCCCAATAATAAAAATAAGAAAAATTGTGTTTTTATAAAAATAGCTTGACTTTGACAAAAAAACGTTTTCTAAAATATACGTTTGCACTTATTCTTCAAAGTACATGTTTTTACATAGCCTACTGTATGGGTTCCTGAGAAACTATGGTATAGAAATGAGATCTTCTATGCTTGATGATGTAGACTAGATAATGACATAGTATCATTTCTATCATGATTACACTTTGAAGAGCTTTCAATTCTAGGCTCGGTTTCAAATCTAAAAAAATCTTCGCCCTCAACACCCTCCCCCTTCCAACGCCAATGGTTAGTATACAGCCAATTGCAGCTGTCAATTTGTTGGACTTTGGCAATTATTTAGTTGTGTACATATGTATTACTGGAATAAATTATTGATGATTATAAATAAAAAAAAAGTATACAATAATGGTTTTCAGTATAACGCGCATCAGTATTAATGCATGAAATATTACCATTAAATGACACACATTAAAATGTATACTGACTGCTTTTTTATTACAAGAAAACTAATTTATAATTTAGTGAACATATACTTGCAGCAATTGAAACAACAAAGGGATAAGTTGAAGCAGTATCAGAAGAAGGTGCAAGTGCAATTAGAGAAAGAGCGAGCTTTGGCAAAACAGCTTCTCAGTGATGGCAAGAAGGAGTAAGAACATATTTCTTCTTTTAAAATACTCTTTATATAATAACTTATATGCCCCACCCAATTTTGAAAATTGATACAAGCAAAGATTTAAGGATTTAAGCCCTAGACTCAGTGCTTTGTCTGCTGATGCTGAATCATTCCATTGAAGGTGTTGTTCCCAAATCTTTGCATGACTGCACAGCGGAAATGTATAGTAAAGTGAACAATGCATGAGTGGAATGGAGTAGCCACAATGCATTGAGCGATGGCTTAATTCTTTTCATACATTCCAAAATATTTTCTACGAAATAACCTAAAAGATACAAAATCACTAAAAGAATGTATATTCAGTGAAACATTTTGCAAGGGTCAAGTTTACAAAGTATCAATTTCAATCTGGAGAGTCAAGTTGTGACCATGACAACTGTTTAACAAGTGACCTCGGATGCAGATTTCCAATCTGGAGTCTAATAAAGAAGAAGAAGAATACTGGCAAAAGTAATAGACTCCAGATTGCAGTCTAATAATAACTTTGATTCAGATTAACTGGGACTGATGAATTCTCATGAATTGATGCTGCTTACAATTTATTTGTATATGTTTTATCCAGAACCAACAACAGATGTCGTTCTGTTTAAACCAAAATAATTAAAACATAGAATGATCACAATAAACTGTGGATAACATCAGGTCTAGGGATAATAATAATAATTTCAGCTACTCTGAACTCTACATCAAAAATCAAACTCAACACCAAACATTCAAGTCCCATTTTTAAAAAGTTAAATATTTTGACTTGACTTCAGACTGCCACCTTTATATAGAAAATCGCAACAGAATCTCCTTACCCTTATTTCTTAATTTTAAACCTTTTTCAAGACACTCCATATGTACAGGGTGGGCCAAAAAAACATTACCCAACTTCAAATCAGGATAAAAATAGTTATGTTCAGTATGGTACATTGACTTACACATCATTTTAAAGGTAATTCATTTTCAAACAATTTGATATATAACACTATGTCATGAAATCAATATTAAAGTTTTATTATACTTACTTGTTAGGCCGGGTTGCTATTTAAGGTCTCCAGATTTTAGGGAAAAAATTGTAAATCTGTGGAATTCCGTTAATTTTTTATTTATAGTATATCATTTTGTTAGGTGAATACATGCTTGTTTATTAACATATTTGTGTGACTAAACTTATTGTTTATGAATTTCAATGTTGTTTATTATCAATAATTACTCAAAAGGGGTCTGTTCAAAGACATTAAACGTATATGTGGTGAGGATTTTATTTTTCAACAAGACATTGCCTAGTACCATAGAACAATGGAGACATTGACATTCCTTTGCAAACAAGGTGTCAATTTGATTGATCTCGATGCTTGGCCACCCAAAAGCCCCATTGCTAATGTGTTAGATTACCATACATGGAGCCATGTCGAGGAAATGGTACAATCACAAGCTTCCAATAAACAGCATTGGTGAGCTGAAGCACAGAATCCTAAAGTGCTGAATTGAATTGCAACAGAAATCTGTTAGTTAGGCAATTGATAGATTGCGCTACCACTTGAAGCTTATTGTTGACACAGAGGGGGGGGGGTAATCGAGCAATTGTTAAAATGAATAAAGTGTAAAATGTTATTAAACAAGACTGAAATTCATAAACAATAAAATAAGTCACACAATGATGAAAATATCAATATATATATATATCTTTTATTGACTCTCTGATGTCATTGCAATGACATATTAGTCACTACAAACTACAATATACAAAATTAAACTAAGACTAAACTAACTACTTCATAGGAAATATACAAAGTTGTAAAATACAATTACAGCATCACAAAATGTAAAATACAAAAATGAGATAATTGTAAAATACAGATACAACATGACAGAATTTAAAACATCAGTGTGATGTATCATTGTTACAATATTAATCCAGTTTTTTGAATGAATGATAAATGAACTTTGCTAGATGTAAAATTACATAAGAATTTTTATGAGACAAAAGCTTTTTTAAAATAAAGTTAGGACTTCCTAAAAAATTAAATCGCGTAAGGGTGTCAAACAAAAGTTTTCTCTCTGTTGTATTTTTCTTACACACCATGATAAAGTGTTGTTCATCTTCTAAAATACCACACATATTACATAAACGTTCATCCAAAGGTCTTGGCTTAGGCTTCAAATGACGACCAATTTCTATATGTAATTTGTGTGAACTAAGCCTAAATCTACTTATTGCTTGTCTGTAATTTTTATTTTGTATATTTAAATAACCCTCTCTTTCAAAGACATTTTTGAATGTTATGTAAGTTCTTAAAACAGGATATTTGAAAATATCTTTCTGCCACTGAGACTTATAATTCTGATACAGTTTTTTTGTTATCATCTTGATAAAAATATAATCATCATCGATCTTTTGAGTTTCCCAATATGAGAATAAATCACATTTTTTCAAAATATCAGTGATTTTGTTTGACCAAGTACCTTTAAAACCCAGTTGGCTCATTTCACGGTCATGTGTAAATGTTTTATGAAGAATGTTTCCAGGTGATAGATGAATTAAACGGAGCCAATATTTAATTAACTTAATTTCAAAACGTATTTTTAATGGGTAACGTCCTAATTCTCCATAGACTGCTGGTGTTGCTGTTGATTTTTTAACACCTAATAAACTTTTAAGAAAAGATAAATGCATTGTCTCTATTGTCTTAAGATGTTTTTCATTAATCCACACCTCTGAAGCATAAGTTAGGATAGGTTCAACTAAAGAGTCAAAAAGGTGCAATGCAAGATTAACTGGAATGTCATTAAATTTTTTATATTGCTGTTTAACTTTAAACAAAGCTTTTCTTGCCTGCTCTTTTAGATAACATACATGCTGGTCAAAATTCTTAGTTTTGCTGAATACACATCCTAGATATTTATATTGCTCAACACTTTCTATTGCACTATCATTGAATGTACATATCCTAACATGTATTCAACTTACAAAAAATGATATTCTATAAATGAAAAATTGACATAATTCCGCAGATTTACTATTTTCTCCCTAAAATCTGGAGACCTTAAATAGCTACCCGGCCTCCCAAATAAGTATAACTTTACTGTTGATTTCATGACATAGTGTTATATACCAAATTGTTTGAAAATGAATTACCTTTAAAATGATGTATAAGTCAATGTACCATATTGAACATAACTATTTTTATCCTGATTTGAAGTTGGGTATTGGTTTTCTTTGGCCCACCCTGTATATATGTTGCATAACTTGTTTGAACATTGGCATATAGACTTGTCCTTTGGCACATTTAAAGTCGACATAATATGAAATCAGATGTGTAGCTCAAGTGGGTCAAATTTTATGAGCAGTACAACATTTACTCTAAATATCGTCCATTCCTTTGCAGACACACATGGATTCTACACAAAAAATGCCACCCAGCTTTTGTAACTATCATTTTGGCTTGTACCATTCAGGGAAATGAAGTTCATTCAATAAAATAATGCAGTTGTCATTATAAATTATTCCAAAATTATGTTACAAAAGGTGGGTGTCATTTTTTGTATGATCCAGTTGTGCCAGCAAAGGCATAGACGACACCTTTTCTAATGCTCATAAATGTGCATCTAGGTGAGCTAGTCATCTGAAACTTCTTGTGGAGTTGCGAAATGGATTGTAGTTATGGAGTTATGAAACATTATGAGGGTGGGTGTCATTTTTTGGTGTCACACGGTACCGAAGATTCTAGATGTCAATATAAATTGACAATAAGAAGGTTAAGAACTGAGAATGTTCAAAATTAAATTGCGATTAGAGATAAGATTTAAAAACAATTTGAAAGAATTGTAAAGAACAATTTAATCAGTCAATACCTTTTATACTTTCATTTTGATTGTAATAGCTTCTATAATTGATTAAAACAACTAAAATTGAATGTTTAAGAGTCATAAAATATAAACACTCAATGTGATTTCCTTTTCATGCATTGTTTGAGAATTGTAATTTGAGGGTTTAAAGATGCATTATACCATAGGTTTCTCCCCTAGACAACCAATGATGTCCTATTGTTATTGCTCATATAATATCTCACATACCATGGATATATCTTGAGAATAACTTTTGAGTATATTATTGCCGAAATACTGAAATAATCAACAGAACAACCAACCTCCAGAATTAAACACAATCGATTCCTCGCCTAGCGAGGGGAATCCCCATTGAGTCACACAAGCGCCTTGAACCAGGTAGCCAATCAGCTTCATGATAAACAAATTCAACGACCAATCAGATAACAGGAGGACTTTCCCGGTATATTCAAACTTCAGATTGAATTAATTAGATCGGCCAGCACAATCGCAAACTGAAAGAGGGGGATTTGGGACTTTTTCTTTGGTAAGTAGATGGTTGAGTATGTGGTAAAACTCAATATGCAAAAAATTCCAGAGGGGTCTTGATTGTGCTATCCTATGGCATAGAGCCTCTTTAAATAAATCATTGAACAAAATTAGCATTTGTGTTGCATTATTATTTCAGGAAAGCCAAACTTCTACTTAGGAAAAAGAGGTTTGCAGAGGGACTTTTAACAAAAACTGATGGACAATTAGACAATATTGAGAGAATGGTGAGTCTGATACAATAATCGACATAAGTACTAGTAATTGAAATTATTTTGTCAAGGCAAATCCACAATAATTGTTCACTGCTTATAACAAAGTTGAAATAGAAAAATGTACAGAAAATAACTTATTGAAAAGGAAATGTTGAAATGAAATATCCAAGACTCACAGATAGTTGGGATATCCATATTTTGTCATTGTCAACCTGATGTGATTAAATGAAATCCAAATCAATTTTTATCACTTACTTTTTTGAGGAGAGGGGATTAGAGTCATACCAACTGCCATATTTTGTAAATTGATTTATTGACGTGTTCCCTTATTCATACACATGCTATTATTTTATCAAATACTTGTATATGTCTGAGATTCATGAAAATATATACACTGTACATGTATCATAGGAATTGTGGTAGTGAGGGTTGATTATTCTGTTTTCTTATTATTGGAGTTTTTATCCCATCGAATGAAGTTTGGAGGGATATAGGGAAAGCCTCCATCCGTCCGTATGTGCATCCGTACATATGCCCGTCTGTCCGTCCATCCGTACATACGCCCGTCTGTCCGTCCATACCGTCCCTGTCCATCCGGGCAATAACTAAAATACCGTTGGCCCGATTTTGTTCATATTTTGTACACATATACCCAATGGGGATGGAAGTTCTGCTCAAAAGCTGATTTTCAAAATGGCCGCTCATTTAAAAATGGCGGCCATTTTAGTGCCAACTTTACAGTGATTTAGGTACTGCATATAAAACTGTAATAGCAATATGTTTTAAATGTAAAAAATTATACAGGACATTGATTAAGCTAGAAATGTAAATATAGAAGAAATACATGGCAGCCATCTTGAAAATGGCTGCCTTTGCACGTCATTTTACGATTTTTGCTGTAACTTGAAAAGTAGTGGAGCAATTTTGTTCATATTTGGTATGTGAATACTTTAAGCATGGCACAATGTCTAATGACGTTTTGGGTAGTAGGCGGCCCTTTTGAAAAATGGCCGCCATTTTTACGTGAACAGTTATTTTACATTTTTTACTACATGTATAACTCAAAAAGTAGTGGAGCCATTTTATTCATACTTTATATGTGAATACTATAAGCATGGCACACTGTCTAATGACACTTTGGGTAGTAGGTGGCCATTTTGAAAAATGGCCACCATTTTTACGTTTTTTACTATAACTTGAAAAGTAGTGAAGAGATTTTGTTCATATTTGTTGTGTGAAAACTTTAAGCATGGCACATTGTCGAATAAAACTTTTGGGAGTAGTCGGCCATTTTGAAAAATGGCCACCATTTTTATGATTTAGCGATTTTGTTCATATTTGATATGTGAATACTCATAAGGATTGCATACTGACTCTTATGACATTTTGGGTAGTAGGCGGCCATTTACTTCTTCTGATGACAACTTGGCTAGTGAGCAACCAGTTTGAAAATGGTGGCCTTTCTTATGTGTGTTATTTTATGATATTTGCTATATATTTCCTTTGTAAAAATGCCAGCCATTTCTGTTCGATGGAATTCGCTACGCTTTGGCATTGCCGTTGTTCTGGTTTACAATTGGAGATGCTTAAAACAATACATATGATTGCAGGTTCATGACATAGAGTTTGCCCAGATTGAGGCAAAGGTGGTTGAGGGACTGAAGATTGGCAATGAATCTTTAAAGAAGATGCATCAAATAATGTCTATAGAAGATGTTGAGAGAATTATGGATGAGGCACAAGAAGGAATTGAGTACCAACAGGTAAATATTGGACTTAAAAGTCATTATTTAATATGAATAACTCAGTTAATATTTTTTGATACTTTCCTGTGGCAGCCCAGCCCCCCTCCCCCTGAGGTTGCCCCCACCCTCCTAAAAAATTGGGGCCCAAAAACATTTTGTTTGCTCATCCCCACATATTGGGCAATCTAGATGACAAACTGACACAACTGGGCATTATCATTTTTGATTTTCCTCTTCATTTTCAGTACTGCCCCTGCTTTCCCTATAACTTTTGAAATATAAAAGAAAAAAGATATACATGTACAGGGTGACCCAAATAACAGAACCCTATAAAAGAATAATAATTTCCTAAATGCCCATCTTATCAACCCACTTTTTTTATGTGCATAATCTAGAATCTATGGATGATAAATGAGTTAGTTTTTGTAATTTTATAATATGTCAATATGATACCAAGTTTGCTACACAAAATTGATTATTTGTGATATCATGGATGATCTAAAAATGTGTCCAATTTTGGGAAAATCATCATTGAGACAAAATTATATCATAATATAAATTCAAAAGAGGATGTGAATCACAGTCTCTTCAATATTTTAATTGAAAGATGAAGAATAGGCAATTGACCTTTTTCCTAGGGTAGGGCTAGAATACATGTATTGCCAGAGTCACTTAATTTCTTGATTTAAGAAGATCTTCTTGACATGTGAATTGTGATTTCATCATAAAATTGTGATCCTTGTAGGAATAAATGAACTTTTGAAGGTTTTCAGCATTGTTTCAATGTACCCTTTGCATTCGTTTGACTTCACTTCTTAAAAGAGAGCTTCGTCTTCACTCTTTCAAACTAAAATAAACCTGTGAACTCACCGCGCCAATCAGTGTTCGTCGGCCAAATTTGACCGACGTTCTTTATATGGTCATTCCTTCTGACGTCATCGTTGAGCCTAGAATTGACCAATAACATGCGCATATTTAATTAGAAGGCATTTGGGGTATGTTTCTTCAAGCTCGCTGATTGGTAGAAGGTCAGCGCGTAGGTCAAAAGTGATTTACCCAAACTGTCACCGGTACCCGTCGTGGGGGCGGGGCTACTAAACTGTAATATGGTCTCTACTAGGCAGAGTGTAGTTTAACTAGACTCTGCACGCAGGGTAGTTTCAATGAGGATTTAGCCCGACTTTTTTTTGACAACTAGAAAATCATTAGAATTTGAATAAAGGTAAATAATGGTGCAAATCAAAGTTGTTTTGATAGAAAATTATACACAGAATTCAAATATGCCATCAAATAGAAGAAAATGTTAGTATTAGATGGTTCGAAATGCAGATCTCCTAAAATCTCATTAAAACGAGACTTTAACAAAACAAAAAAACAACATCAGATGACTGAAATTCCTGGCCTCTGAGCAAGAACACCTCAAACCCTGTACGGAAAACCTTACATTTTCTTTTCTTTCTTTAAAGTTCACGTGTTATTTGCTGATGCCATAGGGACATTGGATATCTGCTTTAAAGATACTGTAGCTTTGAGATAGCTGAATTCAAAAAATGACATGGCCACCATATTCTATGAGGAAAGTTCCTGATAACTTGAATACCAGTCATCAGATTTGATGTGTCAGACCTTCTGTTCAACAAAAATACTAGAAGACCTAACATATCTCCCCATGTTTTGCGCCTATTCATTTAGCAATTCAATCGTAAACTTTCCCTTGAAAAAAATTTATCTTCCAGATTTGTCGGATTTTCTAGCAAAAATCGGCTACCAATCACAGAGCATGTGTCCATCAGGTCAAAGGAAATTTTTCCTGATCTCTATTCAAATTTTATTCCTGAGTTCATCAGTACCTTAGGATTGTTTGCCTTTTAGGTATCCTCTCAAAAAATAATCAAAATGGGATAGTTCTTGAGAATGTGCAATATATGTATCCATTTTATTATCGCTATAATTTTTGAAGAAAATTAACCCAGGGTCTGTTTTCACTTAAATCATAGTTAGAGCTCCCTTCAAAACTTTATTTCCCTGCTTCAATTGATCAAGCAACAAAATATTCAAACAGAAAATGCTACTTTATCAAAAATGGATACATTGCATCTTTTTGGACCACCCTGTACAATGTAGAGGCCGGGAGCACTATGTCTCCAGATATGGGACAGACTATGTTCAATCTTAAAGCTCAAGAGTGTTTAAGCATGTCAAAGAGTCAACATCCATCACATGATATTAAAATTATTAATAACAGGGCATTGGGGATATTTAACACATGTGCTTTCATCAATAGGCCATCATAAATGTTGGCTTCTCGACATGTAGCCTAGTAGTAAATATACATGCTTTCTGCTTTGAAACAATTACTTCAAATGTTTGGTTGCATTTCAGGAGATTGATTCTTTACTAGCAGGAGGTCTTACTGAGGAAGATGAGGATGCTGTGCTTGCAGAACTTGATGCAATAGCTGGAGAGGCAACAGCCAAGGAGGAAATAGATATCAACTTACCTGATGTGCCACAGGACAAACTACCAGGTAAGAATCAACTAATATACGATCATACTTAATTCATGGCTTCTATAATGGACGAACAACCAGGTAAACTGTTAACTTGATTCACCAGACCAGTCCAATCATTACTTTCATTGCACTTTCTAAGAACAGCAAACAAAATTTACTGTTAATCACATGACACATGAGCTCTGAATCTCCCTTTATGTTGCAGTACTTCACCTTGCCTCCTTGAAAAATATTTTACTTTTCTGTTTTTGCAGAGATACAGCGGGAAAAGCAAAGGAAAGAGCATGAAAAAGAGGCAGTAATGGCAACATAGCAAAACATTGATTGTAGTTTTTCATTTTATTGAACCATATGAACTTTTTTAATAGGTCATCTTCACAATTATGTGTATAAGAAAATGGGATGGAATAAGCAGAATATTATACAAGTCTTTAATTCTGAGGTGAATACCTCTGCATCTTTCACAAGTGATATGCCACGAAGTCCGAAGGGCTTGTGGAATATCGGAATATCATCTTGTGAAAAGTGTCACATGTATTCAACAAAAATAGAATTAGATATTTGTTTTATTATTCATTGTTATATTCCTCACTCACATTAATGGAATAACAAACTATTTATGTCTAATTAATCATAACAATGTACTCCCGGGGATATATACAATTGAAATTACACTGGACTAAGTCCCAACTGGTGAATATCATTTGATATTCAACGTGACTTCTGTTGAATATCGCTTGTTATTTTTTAGTCACGGTGTAGGACATAGGCCAATCAGAGAGTGAGGAATATGACAGTGGTACAATAATATCAAATATTTTAGGAAATGTATATTGAAATTGACATATTATTAAGAATCCAAATGAAAATAATGTGCTTGTATCTACTGTTGTACCACATAGGAATGTCCTCACATGTGAACCATTTTAGTAGCTACATTTTAGAACATCAGAAGCAACTAATTACTTTCTTTTTATTTGTTAATCAATTGATAATAATAGCAAATAGAAAAAGAGTGTATTTTCATTCTCATCAATTTACATATTCAGTTTTAGATAAACTGTGGAAATTGCATATTAAAATGTGCATATCCTTTTGAACACCAATGATTGTAAATTAAGAAAGTAAAATGGCAGAAATTGGCAAATTTAAAAATGCACTGGTATGTCCGCAATCTTTGGAAAATCAATATTTCTCTCTTCTGATGGGCATTCTCTTCAGTGCTTTCAATTAAATGTCCATGCAAAATGAACATCCAGTGGCTATTTATATTAGCAAGAAACTCCAGCGCTGGTTTTTCACGACAGGGTATGCCAATTATTGGATTTCATTCAACTCTTAATTGTAATTGCCATCTGGTGTTCATTATCCCACTGAACGAAGTTCGAGGGGGATATAGGAAAGCTGTCCATCCGTTCGTCCATCTGTCTGGGCAATAACTCAAATACCGGTTGACGGATTTGATTCAAATTTTATAGGCTTATGCCCTATGGGTGTAGGACCTCTGCTCGATAATGAGTTTTCAATATGGCAGCCTAATTAAAAATGGCGGCCATTTTTCGGAAAAAGTATAATCTTTGATAACTCAAATACTAGTGTAAAAGGAGCTCTGCTCGAGAAGGGATTTTCAAGATGGCAGCTAAATTTTAAAATGGCCGCCATTTTTTGTAAAAGAACGTAACCTTTGATAACTCAAATACCAGTTAACTGATTTGGTTCAAATTCTATATGCTGATGCCTATGAGACAAAGAAGTTCTGCTCAAGAAGACATTTTCAAGATGCCCATTGAATTTCAAAATGGCCACCATTTTTTGTAAAAAACGTAATGATTGATCAAATACCAGTAGATTGATTTGGTTCCAATTTTAATGCTGTGATGTCTAGGGAAAAAGGAGATCTGCTTCAGAGGAAATTTCAAAGGCGTCAGCTGAACTTCAAAATGGCTGCCATTTTTCATAAAAAAAAGGTAATCTTTGATATCTCACATACCAGTGGACATATTTACTTCAAATTTTATATACTGATGCCTAGAGATAAAGGAACTCGGCTTGAGAAGAAATTTTCGAGGTGGCTGCTATTTATAGAAATCTCTGCCATGGCCATTTTTTATATGGCCACTATTTATCAAAACATGTTTTGTTCAGTGGGATTTGCTACTCCGTGGATTGGCTGTTTTTCTCATTAATAGTATGCAGTAAAATTATATGATGTATAACTGTCTTGGTATGTGTATATATATTTATATTTTCAATTTGTATATAGACTTAATACATGAGGTCGTTTGTAAATACATGTAATGCAATACTCTAATAATGATTGTACATTTGTATGAAATAAATATGGCATTAATCCTATAATAATGTACTGTGTTTTGTTTCATAATAGGAGTAGAAGTAAATAAAAGAGTATGCCTCCACCTTTAACACTGTTTAAGGTGGTTTTATACACATGAGTTGATATGTATAATGTATGTACAGTAATGTTATACATGGAAATTGGCAGGTACTTATGAGAGCTTGTAATGCAATGAATGCTATTTTGATTGCATTGCTTGATTTTGATCAACCATATTCTCAAAGTGGTTTGGTTGGTAAGGTTAATAAAGGATCATCTCTAACATAAAGAGTGTAGATGTACCTCTCCTGAAGCAAAACCAATTAAAAAGCGTAAAAACACACTAGCTGAATCACATTACTTTTCAGGAGCATAAAATATGAAAAAAATTAGGCGATCCAAATGAAAGTAGGTGAAGCAATTTTAGGCTAAATCCTGTATGTGCCTTGGGAGTTCGATCATTACAGTTTTAGATGCCCGTCACCTAGAATGAAGAAATGAAAAAATGCCAAGATCTTTGCCTTGGATGAATGATATGAAATGTCAAGCCCAACAATTAGAGAGATCAGTTTAATTAAATATTCAATAGCTAGCGATAGTGACGATGACAAAAAATTAAAAAGGGCTCAATCTTTTGCTATTCGTACTGTTAACAGAAAACGTGTTCAAAAAAGAGCACAAAATTTAAGAAAAAACAATAGTTTCAGTGGTCAGCAAAACCGGTTCCAAGGCAACAACAGCAACGCAGGGTGCGGTAACAGCGGCGGTAACGGCGGTAACGGCAACACCGGATGGGCCCAGAAACAACAGCAGCTTAAGTCGAATATCGCGCGAGGACCAAGGCCGACCGACTCATGTTTTGCCTGCGGCGGCAGGGGGCACTGGAGTCGAGAGTGCACGGCGGCAACAGGGGGAAATGTAGGAGGGCAGTAACACAGAAAAGATAAGTAAAATTGTAACTTCATGTGATATTGATAATGTGTCTCAAAAGGTGAAAGGTAATCTCAGAAGGCATGTAAAATTTTGGACAGAAATAGGTGCAAATAGCACCATAATAGATATTGTAGAAAATGGCTATGTTATACCATTAAAATCAGAACCAGGTGTCGTAGATCTTAAGAATAACAAATCTGCTATAGAAAATGGTGATTTCGTGACAAAAGAAATTCAAAATTTAATAGAAGGTGGTTTTATTTGCGAAGTAGAACAAAAGCCAAGGGTGATTAATCCGCTCACTGTAGCAATAAATGCAAAGGGCAAAAAACGTTTAGTTTTAGATCTTAGACACGTTAATCCACATGTGTGGATCGAAAAAATGAAATATGAAGACATTAACACAGCTATGCCTTATTTTAGAAAAGGAGGTCACATGAGCACATTTGATATTAAAAGTGGCTATCATCACTTGGACATCAGGCAAAATCAGTGGCAATATTTAGGTTTCAAGTGGCAATTTGAAAACGGGCAAATCAAGTATTTCTGCTTCAAGGTTTTACCGTTTGGAATAAAAACGGGAGGTTTGGTTTTTTCAAAGGTCGTACGGGCTCTAGTAAAGTATTGGAGGTCAAACAATGTGAGAATTGTTACGTATTTAGATGATGGGATTATTGTTGGCAACAATAGGCAAGAAACAGAGTTACAGGCAATGTTCGTAAGGTTAACGCTAAAAAGGGCAGGTTTCATAGAAAATGTGCAAAAGTCTCAGTGGGAACCAGCTCAAAAAGTAGAATGGTTAGGCTTTGTAATAGACCTCGCAAAATTTGAAATTCGCATACCAGAAACGAAAGTCGACAATTATATTCAATGCTTAGAAAATATTCTGCAAAGTAAAGTGATAGTTACTGCTAGACGGTTGGCTTCGGTTGTAGGCAAGATAAATTCTGCAGGTCCAGCCTTGGGTAATGTCACAAAACTCATGACAAAATATTCACACGCACAAATAAATCAGAGTTACGCTTGGGATCAGGTAGTGGTTCTTAATGGGAATAGCATTTCAGAGCTAACTTACTGGGTGAACAATTAAAAAAACTTGAACGGTAAGGCGATAGTAGATACTCCCAAGCTAAGGAAGGTTGTGTTTTCAGACGCAAGTGATAATGGTTGTGCAGGCTACGTAGTCGAAGCGGATCAGGAAATATGTTATAAAACATGGACAAGTTCAGAGGTTGTTCAGAGTTCCACTTGGAGAGAATTAAAAGGTGTACATGTGGTACTTCAGTCTTTAATGAACAAACTTGAGGGTCAAGCTATCAAGTGGTTCACAGATAACAAAAACATTGTCAGTATAGTCTCAAATGGAAGCATGAAAGAGCATTTGCAGGCTTTGGCGATAGATATTTTCACTTTGTGTGCAAGGTTCCATGTGGATTTAAACATTCAGTGGATTCCAAGGTCTTTAAATGAGAAGGCAGATTATTACAGCAAAATAGTAGATTTTGACGATTGGAGTATTTCAAAAAGCACTTTTAGAGATCTCGATCAGGCATGGGGGCCTCATTCGATAGATAGATTCGCATCATGTGATAACAAGCAAGTGACAAGGTTCAATTCAAAGTTCTGGAACCCAGGTACAGGGGCCGTGGACGCCTTTACACAAATTTGGTCTTGTGAAAATAACTGGTGTGTGCCACCTTTGTATTTAGTGCCAAACGTCATAGCGTACATGAAACAGCAGGGTGCTGAAGGAACTTTAATTGTACCTAGGTGGCAATCGGCGTCATTTTGGCCATTGATACATAACGGCAATGTGTTCAAATACTTTGTGAAAGATATTGTAGAATACACAAATGCAAAATACGTCTTAAACAAGTGCTCACAAAGCAACAGTGTTTTCACAAAAGACAATTTCAATGGCACAATGTTGGCATTAAAAATTAGATTTTGAATAAAAATGTATAAAAAAAATCAATCAAGTTGATCAAACCAATGAAACATTACATTCAGTTATTTCAATCAAGAGCAAATACGATGTTCATATCATGAATTACAGTCTATACGTATAGCTTCAGTGTAACTTAATTAATATTTTTCCATGTGATGAGCGATACATTGGTTAAAAGTGAAAAACTTAAGGAACTAAAACAAAAACTACCAACAGTTTTATTGAAATCCAAAGAGCCCAAAACAATTGAGGCTTATAATTACGCTTACAAAAAGTGGGAGAACTGGGCACAACAATTTGAAGAAGTGACCTGCTTGCCAGCAAATCCAGTTTACTTAGCATTATATTTGGTGAGCATGATACAACAAAGCAACACGGCTAGTCCTTTGGTTAACGCCGTTTACGCCATTGCTGCGGCACATAACTTTGCAAATCTGAGCAATCCATGTAATAGTAACCTTGTTAAAATGACTTTAGAATCGGCAAAGAGAATTTTAGCCAAACCAAAAACCAAGAAATTACCAATTACGCCAGAAATGTTGGCCCTTATTGTAGACAGATTCGCAACTAATACTAAAACATGTTTGAAAGGTTTGAGGTTGGCTACATTTGTCTTGCTGGGATGTATCGCAAAAAGCTCGCGCACGCATTGTTACACATTTTGTGGCGTAATCCAGAGGATCCTCGCTTTTAACATGGTAGAATGTGACGTTTTTGAGAAAAATGTACACAAATGAAAATCCTTTCGTCCTCCACATTTACCTCTCTATCTCAAAACATTTTAGACGAATAACTCTGATATCATATATATATTGTTAATGGGCTAGGAGCATCATAAAACACGAATCAATTGATATTTTAGGTGAAATAAATATACGTGTTGCTGTGCTTGAAAATAGGCGAATGGCGTAAATTAGCCCTATTTTGATGAATTTTGAAAACCTTTCGTCCTCCACTTTTCCACATACAACAGAAAACACATACCTTTGCGAAGAAAATTAACTATTTATTAATAAACTAGAGTTTAGGAGCAAAATAATCATGTATGATTTATTATTACACCTGAAAAGTTGAAGGAACAAAAAAATGAGCAGAAAAGGTCGCTGTCAACAGATTCTATTTTTCAAACTCTATGACGTCACAATATGGGACGCTTACTAAAATTCATCCTTTGAAATAAAACTTCTATCTACCTTTATCAAGACGAAAAATAAGTATAATAGTCATATATTGTTTGAGTTATGAGCGTTTAAAGAAGAAAAATAATTCAAAATGTAACGTGTCAACAGGGAATATTTGCCAGATGTTTTGGTAAAAAACTCTTTTTTAAAAAAGAACGCGCAAGAATTGTGAACGGAGTGTAGTTGATCTAAAAACTTCATCGAAACAGCTTTAAAATGATATACAACTTTAATTAGAATATTATTTTAGAATCCGGGGAATCAAAGTTACATTCACGCGATACCCCTAAAAAACAAATGCGCCACCTTTTTGCGACACGTCTGGGTTATTCAGGAGTTTAGATTTGATGAGCTGTCTAGTATACAATTAGGAGATATTATGTTCTACGATACTCACATGAGCATCTTCCTTGAGCGTTCTAAGACAGACGTGTACAGAGATGGTAGAAATTGTATTATTGCAGAAGAATAGAAATGATATCCCGAACGTCAAAATTCCCCGGTAAAATTGCCGATCTCACGATTATTTTGTTTAAAGCTTGTTTCGTTCAGTGTAAATGATTTACCTGTCACGTGATACATTGAAAGGAATTCCCTGTCAGCCATTTTCATGTGTTGATTTTAAATATTTACCAATTTACATTGTTTTTACCTCATTTAGATGTTTACATTATTTCCTCAGTCTAGAAACGATAGATGAAGAGGTGGCGTTTCGTTATTCAATCGATATCGAGGAATTAAGTTGAAAGAATGTCTGAAACTCCTCCTGAAAGCGAAAATCAAAGTGGACATTCATTTCCAGCACCAACACACACCGACGAACTTTCCTGTAGACCGGCTAAATTAGATGCTGATAAGAAGACAAAGAGTGAGTTTAAGCCCAAAATAGTTGGAAGTTCTACAAAGCTTGGAATGTTGGAGGAGATATAGAATGTTACTCGACTTTTTGGTGATTTTGAAGTCATGTTTGAAATTCACAGTTCAAAATCAACTTCTGTCGAAATTTGACATACCCTTTGCATTCGTTTGACTTCATTTCTTAAAAGAGAGCTTCGTCTTGACTCTTTCAAACTGAAATAAACCTGTGAACTCAACGCGCCAATCAGAGTCTCAGGTGTTCGTCGGCCAAATTTGACCGATGTTCTATATATGGTCGTTCCTTCTGACTTCATCGTTGAGCCCGGAATTGATCAAAGACATGCGCATATTTAATTAGAACGCATTTGGTGTGTTCAAGCTCGCTGATTGGTGGAAGAAAGGTCAGCATGTAGGTCAGAAGTGATTTACTACCCAAACTGTCACCGGTACCCGCCGTGGTGGCGGGGCTACTAAATTGTAATATGGTCTCTACTAGGCAGAGTGTAGTTTGACTAGACTCTGCACGCAGGGTAAATTTGACACAACTATTTGCCTCACCTGGCATTTTATCGTTTCTGAAACATGTTCCCTCAAAATCAGGAAATTAGGGTGATGAGTAGGGACTATAATCCTGGACCGAGGGCAATCTTTTGCCTGTACGATTACAACTTGGGAGAATTATCTACGCCCCTTACACTTAAGATACCTACTTCAATAGATTCCTTGGTATTTTAGCATTCTTTTCGTGTAGTTGAATCCACAATTGTCTGGGTTTATCGGCAGAACGAAGAAATGTTCGTTTTTGATTGCAATACTTGCGTGTAATATTTAACTTATTTCAACCGTCAAATTCCTCCATTTATTGGTAGTTCCGGGCCAGTCAAACAGGGAATCCCCTTTTAAATCCAACCGCCATCTTGGAAAGTGATGGAATCTCTCTCTATGAAAAAGAAAAATGTTCCCGTTCTGCCGATATACCCAGACAATTGTGGATTCAACTACACGAAAAGAATGCTAAACAAAGATTTTACTGTAGATTCCTGTAAAAATATGGTAGGCTGGCAGGTCTGGTACCTTGCACTTGACCTTACACATTGTTAGTTAAAAGGCTATTGTTGTATTATGTTCTTCCAGTTGATGTGCTACTCAAAAGTGCTGGAGATGCACCCATTATGAAGAAGAAAAAGTGGGCTGTAGATCCAACTAAAAAAATTGGATGGGTTATTGAATTCATGCGAAAATATCTCAAGTTCGAACCAGAAGACTCTTTGGTAAGTAGGAATGTGTTATATGCGTGTCCAAGTAAATTCATGTTTTAAGAAATATTGACCAATATGGAGCAATAACTACAATCTTTCCCATCTCATAGCCTTTTACATTATTCTCCTGCTGAAAAAAGTTTGGGTAGGTATGTAGAAAATCAGTCATCCATTTGTGTGTCAAGGTAATAACTCAAATGCAGATTGTTGGATTTGCTTCTGATTGCCTGATGGATTTGAATAGGAAGATTTTGAATATGACCAGAAGATTTTTGAAAACTACCTACCTGGGTTTTGGAGCAGCCTTAGTCAATCCCAGTATGGGTAAATGTTTATAACGAAAGAAAAACACTGGTTGAAATTTATAGGCTGATGCCTCATGGGCATGATGTATGTATTTAGGTACAGTCCCGTCCAAAGGATTTCCAAAGGGAGGGGTTGGTTTTTGCATATGTTGCGTTGTGCCGCCGACACACCAGTTGCACAAATTGTGTGCCCACACAAAACGTCACTGGTGTAGATCACTGGAAGCTAGGGGGCCCCAAAACAAATTTTGAAATTTAAACCCTCTCTGGTTGACTCTGAGAGCAATAGTTGTACCATTAAATACACAATCTCTCAAAAAATTCTGGGAAAAAGGGCAGTCACCCCTAACACACCCCTCCTTTGGACGGGCCTGAAGTATACATTGTATATGTATCTTTATATATCTGTTTCTGTATTTACCAAATATTAAAATAGGGATTCATACAACATTATTAAGTTATTTAAAAAAAACAGGTATTATTGATACTGTAGATACACTTAATTTGAGGTTAATAAATTTGGCGGTTTAGCTCAATTTCAAATATTGGTGGCTATTTAATTTGGCAAAGTCAGGAGCTCAGGTTTTATTATTGATCGGGAAATAAGCATTTCAGATTCATGTGTTCTACTTACAGTTAGTCTTCGGCATAGCACTGAAATTTACTTTCACATGTGAAATAATTGAAAATTCCCTGGGGATTTTCCAAAATAGATCTGAAAATAGGTGGATTTTTAATTTGGCGAATTTTTTCAGTCCGCCAATCCATCAAATTTAAACGGTAGCTAAATTAAGTGTATCTACAGTATGCATGAAACCTCTCTCAGCTTTGGCACCTGCAGCATAATTCCACAGAATCCACTAGCTCTGACCTGAATGGTCCTCACGCTTCAGATTGCATAATTGTTATTATCGGTTAACATTTGGTGTTATGGAAGTAGTATTTTCATTAAAACACAGATGAAATACAGTGATCTCCCCAGCATTAAAGCAAGTGAGATTTTGAAAATAAGCTTGCACCCACCTGAAAAGCCATTTGCACCCACTTGAAAATAAGAAAAATCATGATAAATTGGCATATTGTGACCAATTTTGGTCTGAATTGTGAAAATGAGAATTTTGCACCCACCTGAGAAAAAATCCTGAGGAGATCACTGAAATATATAGTTTTGATTTTTGAATTTTTAATCATTTTATTCTGCCGCATTCTCAATGGGGACTGTATTTCATGGACAACAATTCAGATTGTAGTTTTACCAGGCAATTGAATATACTCTCTATACAAGAAAATTCAAAAAGAAAAATATCCCACCAAAATAAGAAGGTTGCATTTATGTCGGGTCACCCTCTGAATTACATATATTCAGGTGTTCAGATTTGAATGATGTAACGCTTTATTTTCAGTTTCTGTATGTGAACCAGTCATTCTCCCCATCTCTAGATGTAGAACTTGGAACACTATATGATGTGAGTGCGAGCTATTAATACATTAATATTTATCAAAGGGAATATGAAAAACTGAAAAGTATGTTTAATGATATATGAAACTGAAATGATATATGAAACTGAAAAGTATGTTTAATGATATATGAAACTGTAAATTATGTGAAATGATATAGTTTTACACGATAAAAAAATTTCCAAGATGGCCACTACTTTAAAAAAATGGTGGGAATCACAGTATCGCAAAATTCTAAGTTTTTCATTTTCAAACAAAGTTTTTCAGCCTGACCCCCGGGGCCCATGTTTGGGGATGGGGAAAACAGGAATTTTCATAAATATTGAGATCTTTCTGAAGTAAAGCTTTATAATACTCTAATGAAAGGCAATTTAAAGTAGATTGCAAATATTCTTCATCACTTTAAAGTATGGCTATTTTAAACTCAAATTGAAGGAATTTTAGAATAGATCACAATTATTGCATTGTTTTTCTGATTTGTGCCTCAGCAAATTCAAATTATCTGACAAAAGCGAGAATTCGCTATAATTTAGAGATCTATATTATTGTATTATCTTTATTATTTGAGCTATTGAAACTTGCTGTTATCTAGTTTAAATTATTCTTAATTTCTTTTTCGATAGATCACATTTTCCATAATTTTCATTACAATTCTGTTGCATGTATTCAATCGTTCAAACCATAATATGTACATGATGTCAAATAAGAGTTTTTTCATATATTATTGGTTCAACTAACATTTAATTTTTATTACTAAAACTGAATATTTCTATTTTGCAGTGCTTCAGTACAGATGGCAAGCTGGTATTACACTATTGTCGGACTCAGGCCTGGGGTTGATTGCAAGAGCAACCACTGAGACAAATACAATATAGTGACACATTCATTGTGACATATATTGTTTGAAATTGTAGAGAAACATTTACATCTACAAGTAGTTAAATTAAAACAGTTTTGTTATGCTTCATAAATAAAGTGATATGCCTCTAATATATTAACTGATTGTGCATCAGAAATAAAGAAAATCATAAACAATTGTACCAGTGCACATATATATCAACTAGAAGAAGCAATTATGGGTGACAAGGCATGTGGTTCCCCTGCACCAGTGTATGTGTGTTCATATCCACAGTGTAGCCTTAAGTTCTCTAGACCAAGTAGGCTGGAGCAGCACTTCAGGGTTCACACTGGGGAAAAACCATATAAATGTGACCACCCATCCTGTGGAAAGGAATATGCAAGACCAGCCCACTTGAAAAGACACAAAAGTAACTCTCATGTTGAGAAACAGACTGTTGAGATGATGATTTGTGTTGAAAAGGATTGTAAAGCAGTTTTTGAAACATTATTAGGTCTTCGAAAACATCATGCTGCAAAACACAGTGCAGCTCAGGATAAATATGTGTACATGTGTGATTATGATGGATGCACTCGCAAATTTAAAAAGCATCATCAGTTAAATAAACACAAATGTGAACATACAGGAGAAATCCCCAGACCTTTTGTATGTCCAGAGGAGCAATGTGGGAAAACATTTGACCAGGGGAGTCACCTTAAGCGACATATGAAAAGTCACGAGGGTTATCTCTGTAAGGAGGATGGATGTCATGAAAAGTTTAAACATTTTAATATGCTGCGTAAACACATGGCCATTGAGCATCCTAAGACATTCGTATGTACTGTGTGTGATAAGGCATTCGTCAGGAAGAAATATTTAAATGATCATGAAAAGGTTCATGCATCTGAGAGGACTGTTTATGAATGTCCCAAAGAAAATTGCCCTCGTTTTTATTACAATACACGGAACTTATATGCCCATATAAGGTCATATCACGAAGGTCGCAGGGTAGGGTGTACTCATGATGGGTGTGATCGTACATTTGCAACTAAACAGAAAATGCAAGAACATTTGAAGTTTCATGATCCAAATAAACCACTTCCAAAACCCAAAAAGAAGAGGAAACATGACACAGTGACCAGCAAACTAGTTACTCTTCTAGTAAGAAACCGTAATGAGGAAGACAAAATAGACAAACAGGGAAGACCCTTTGACAATAGCAGTGATGATAATTCAGATGACACAGATGTTCTCTCTCTTAGTGAAGATCCAGAAAATACTGATGAGGAAACGGATATGAAGACAGAATCAGCAAATGTCCCTGTACAACTTGACAATGGAGATATTAATGATGAAAATATGGATGTATCAGATGATTTCTCTAATGCAATAGCAAATGATGCATCATTGTGCTCAAATGATAATTGTAAAGCAATTGATGAAATGGCAAATGATAATTGTAAAGCAGTTGATGAAATGTCAAATGATAATAGAGAACTGGGTGATGACATGTCAAATGATTGTGTATCAAATAGTTTTATTTCACATGTTGACGTTGTGTCAAATTATTCTAAAGTTGACAGTGTATTGGAGAAGGAAGCAACGCTCATTAAAATTGAGAAAACAATTGATATTCAAAGCAATGTGTTGAATTTTCAAGACAAAAATATGAATTCAGATAATGATAAACATGGAATGGAAGATGTTGAAATAGTTATCAGAAATATTGCTGGTGGTATTAAGGATAAAAAGAGAGCCAGAAAAGACCAAACTAGTAATTCTAATGGTGCCAGTAATAGTGAACCAGAACATGAGGTAGTATTTGAATTTGATGTATATGATAGGTTGATAGAAAAATGAAAAAAAAATGTTGCAAATGTCACTTGGACAGTGAAAATATATCAATGGTATTTACTTACGTGGAGTAGAGTAACTGGTAACTGGTTGCCATGGTAACTCCTTGCGAGGGCGTAGCGCAGTGTCATAATTGTTACTTTATTCTCTAGATGACAAAATGTTGGTCAAATAGTCAGATCCTATACTTAAGTAATAAAGACCAAGATTTTATGGTGTAATATATGACCAAAATTTTATTCACATCATTGTTAAAAGACCAAAATAGCATAGATTGAGGTCCTTCGCAATGGCCAGAATAAAATTTGAGGTCATATATCTGTCATAAATCATATAATAGAGGTCTTGGTTATGATTCTAATATGATAAACAGACAAGAAAACACAACTATTTGCATTTATGAATTTTAGCGGTCATACATACTCCAATATAGACCAGTAAATCAATTGTTCTAGCTATTGTGATGTCATGTATCATATTAGAATAGTCCATAAACTTGAAAACTTTTCAAAGTATGGCTATGTCTTACTCATATTGAAGGTATTTTAGAGTAGATCACAAGTATGGTATTGTTTTTCTGATTTATGCCTCAAAATAATCAAAATGGCTGCCTAGAGCAGGAATTTGCTATTACTTAGAGTTATCTTCAAAGTATGGTTATACTCTATTCGATCTGAAATGATATTGTATTGTTATGTCACCACCAAAAAGTGGTAACATATTGTTATGATCTCCGTTTTTTGTGGCGGCGGTTGGCGATCAGCGGTTGGCGTCTGTAAAAAATTCTTAAAACTTCCAATAACTTAACAAATACCGTTTAGACTGAAGTTCAAATCTGACTTTAGATTTTAGATTTGACCTTCTCAAGGTCAAACAGGTATTTTTTCATCTTGCTTCAAATCTTGTTTTCAAAATCATCTACAAGTCATCAGAAGTTCAAATCTGACTAAAGGTTTGACCTTCATTGACATTCTCAAGGTCAAAAAAAGATTTGAACGTCAATGACCTTCTCAAGGTAAAAAGGTATTTTCTCAACTTGCTTCAAATAGACCAAATCTTTTTCAAAATCATCTACAAGTTCTCGGGAGTTCAAATCTGACTTAAGATTTCACCTTCAATGACCTTCTCAGGTTCGAAAAAAAAATTTCAACTTGCTTCAAATTGACCAATTTTTTTCAAAATCATCTACAAGTTCTCAGAAATTCAAATCTGACTTAAGATTGAACTAATAATATTATGAGCAATTAGATGGTGACATTTTGTCATGTTATGCCTTGTCTTTATGATTTTTGCCTAAATGTTCACCCAAATGCTCAAATCAGTGGAAATCCTCATATATCTCTAATGTATGTGTTTTAATATCTACCAATTTAATCAAGGGTAGAGTACAATGTAGTAGTAAATACTGCATTGTGACATATACCAGTATACACTGATTCATGAATATAGTGTTCATTGGGATTGCTACTCTGTTGAGTATTTCTATTGCCAATTTCTAGTTTTATTTTAATTTGATTTGTTAAAAACATCAGACGCATCCTATTCTTCTTTAATTTGTCTTTAATATTAGATTTCAGTAAATGCTAAATAAATATCCATTTACACCGTTGCTCATAAATATGGAATATTTACCAATTTATTCTGGTAAAAGAACATATTCTTCAGACTAATTAAGGTTTCCTGGAATACCTTTTCTAGTTTGACATTTTAGAGCAATCATTCTTGCTTACTTGCATATAGTTAAAACTTTTGTAATTTTTATAATAAAGACAATTTACTGATTTTTGTAAAATGCCCAATATTCCATATTTATGATCAACGATGTAGAATAACTTATACAAGTATCTTAAAACATGTTTGTTGTGTTTATGTGACATTCTGATCTACCTGGACAGTGATTAATAAAAGCGATTTGATCAATTTTGCAAAAAAACAAGTGATATTTTCCGAAAAGAGTTCACATTAATTTTGAATTTTTTTGTATGAAAATGGGACTGAAAAAGTGTTATGGTGTTCAGATTAGCCAGATATTCGGATATACTCTTTGATTCAAATTTTATAGGCTTATGCATTATGGGTGTAGGACCTCTGCTCGAGAAGGAATTTTCAATATGGCCACTTAATTTATAATAGCTGTCATTTTTCATTTAAAATTCATATACTGATTCCTAGGTACAGCTAGAGGAGCTGCTCAAGGAGAGATTATCAAGATGGCCACTTAAAAATTCCAGTTGACTGATTTGGTTCAAATTTTCTGCTCAAGAAAACATTTTCTGTTCCTCATATTAATACAAATATATGATAATAATAGCGTATAATGTCGTAAGCCCAAAAACGGCAATGTTACTGATGTTATTGTAATTAAATTAAGGTGGGGCCCCTCTGAATACACTGAAAGAAATGTTCTGAAAATTGCTACAAGTATGGGTCATTGCAACAGCTCCCACTCCGTCAATTTTTTTATCAATTTCTGTTTTCTTTATATGGAATGAAAGATGAGTATCCAATCCAAATGTGTATAAGTAAAAATCACAGCAAAATGCTGTATTAGGCTTTGAAAACGAGTGAAAATCACTTAAATAGTCACTGTTTTCTTTAATTTGAAAGCCGTTTTAATTTGGTGGATGGATAAAAACCACCAAATTAAGTCTCCACCAATCTTTTAAAATGAAATTCCCGGGGATTTCCGTCCAGTGCCTTAGTCATATTTTACCTTGCAAGATAAAACTTTGGTGAAAATCTTGACTGAATCATGTATAAAATATCAATTTAAAACTATTTCCAAAGACCTTCAGAATCCCGCCTGGTTTAAATAAAACAATCTGATACCAGAAGAGATCAAATGCATAATTGGAGGCGAGCTGTGAAGTGAGTAATATGATAGATTATAACCCTGCCAAATTAAATAGGAGCCAAAATTTGCCCAATTCGCCAAATTAAATAGCTCCAAGCTGAAGTAATTTACTGTATACAGGGTGTCCCGAAAGTATGCCCCCCCCCTAGGCAGACATACACCAATGTTCTCATAGTATGTGTCATATCATTTTAAAGCTTATCCAAAGTTACATTGATTTCCCAAGTATCATCGTTCAACTTACAAAGGAGAAAAAGTTAGACATTTCAAAACTTAGTGTATGGCCAAAATTAAATTTAAAATCAGTGTTCTGGAAACACCACTAACCTGAATGTGACCAAAAATATGGGTGCTATCGTTAAATATTAGATGGATATTGAGTTGTAAAAAGAGGTAGGTAAGGGCAGATACTCCAAGGGAACTCTTCTAAAATGCCTTAAAAAGGTTTTATGAGGATTATTAAATACCATACCCCTATTTCCAGTGTATTTAAGGTCATATCTGGAAAGAATTGCTGCTGTTAACATGGCCAAGGGAGACACGGCGACTATTAATTTTGTGTAAAACTAAACTTTAATTTTGGTAAAACACTACATTTTGAACTTGGCAAATCAATGTAACTTTGGACAAGCTTTAAAATGATATATGATACATACTAAGGGTACATTGGTGCATGTCTGCCTAGAAGGGGGAACTATACTTTTGGGACACCCTGTATACAACCTTCAATATAGAAAATAATGTTAAGCGTTGTATTTGATCCAACTTATGCTGCTAAAATGGCGGTTATATTTAGATGGTTAATTGTTGTTGTTGTGTTGCATAAGCCGCTGTTTCCTCGGCAGTCTTGTACTGGAAATTCTCTTTGTGCTCTCTAGTTAAACACTATTCTCATACTTTGGCCAGGGCCGTTAACACTGGCATAACCACATCACATATTTGAAAATATTCAATAAAAGAAAGATCACAAGCATACTTTGCTTTCATAAATGTATATTACATATAACTATATGTACATGTATACTTCTCATAATTACATTTGATATTTACAAATTGATATTTCATATTATATCAACAACTGTAATGAAGCTGTGGTACACTGAACAAAAAAATTCATACAAAACAGTGATATCTCTAATCCTTTTTAGCAGAATTGTGATATCCTTGAAATGTAGAAAATTCAAATTATTTTCCTCCTAAAAACTGTGAACATATTTACAAATGTGATATTGGAATGTTTTAGACTGTAACAGGATGCCACTGTTGCTTTATTATGGTTATTCTGAGGGATTTCTAGTATGAAAACAAAAATGTTCATTAGATTTGATAACAATGTTATCCTCTTACAAAACTTCACAATGTAATATGATGCCATGTTAGGAAGCTTTGCAATAAATAACTGATATTGAGCAAAGTATATCTAGAATTATACTTGTGGTAATTCAAAAGTGGGATATATTCTAGTTATGAATTATATATATTGTGAATGCACCCTCATTGTTTATGTATTACATCTGAATGAATGGAATCTTTATATGGTTGAATAACCAACACTTTGTGGTTAAGTCTCTCATTGATATGCAGAGGGGAAGGGAAATTTCCATACAAATAATCCACCATCGTCACTGACGCTTAGGATACGACGCTGATCTGGTGATATTTTGAGGCGACGTATTGTGCCACAGTGTCCAATACCAACATACACTTCCTCTCCCTCATCATACAGCCATACCTGAAAATCATAAAATCATTTTTATTAGCTACTTTTTATGAAAAATGCACAGGATAGACCCCCCTCTATAAGCAGCCAGAATTATTGCATAGCATGTTAAATGTCCATTGCGCAGTCAGTTTGTGCCAAAAATGAAAACTGAATAAAACATCGATATTTTAAATTTTACATTTTATTGATCTCTTTTTATATGACACACGTTGATCTATCAAGGCATTTTTGGGCAATATCATTATATACAATGGAATAATAATATTTCCCCACTGATTCATAAGTTGTTGTTTTTTTTTCTCAAGATCCGGACATTGAATTTTCATAAATATTTTCTAAATAATTATGGTTTCCCATAAAATGATCCCAATATTTTTGTCTTTCACAAGTTTTGTTATTCAGTATATCTTTCCTCTCTATTTCTGAATTGTAGAAAAAAAAGTTGATTGATAGTAAGTTTAATTTGCTTAAATTGTCAACCAGGGGGTCATGAACAGAACTTTCTCAAAAGTTACGAATTCATAATTCGTAACTTTATGAAATTTGTAAATATTTAAAAAGTTATGAATGACTTACGAATTTGTAAAGTTACGAATCGGCTATAACAGAACACTTTCGTAAGTTTTGAGATCATTATTTAGCACAAATAAAAACATCACATCATTTAATATCATTGCGCGCTGTGGTTAAACTTGTCTCCGCGATCTCAAAGAATCCCAGCTCAGGAACATATCTGCTAATCATGTAAGAATAAGTGGATATTCCAAATATGAAACTTTGCATGTATATAAAAAAAACAATTTGTGTTTGTCAAACTGTATACCTTACATAAGAAATAAATGAGAAATATGCTGTTCACAAAGTTATGAAAGGGTCTGAGGTGCTATTAAAGTTACGAACGAAAGCATATGTGACGTCATTTTTTCATAACTTTGCGAATCGTTCGTAACTTTACGAAAGTTCAGTTAATGCATATTTACCAAATTCGTAAAATTAACAATTGATTTGCAAAGTTCTGTTAATGACCACCAGGCAGACTAGAAGTGTAAACAGTTTTTTTTGAAGAGTTATGGTTGCTATGGTAATGTAACATTACAGAACCCAGCAACATTTAACAAGAAAATCAGCAACTACCTAGAGTAGCAGACCCCCCCCCCCCCCAATAAAACGTTTTGGCTAAATAAAGCTCTTTTGGCTAAATCTACAACAATGACATTGCTCTGACACCATATCAGAAGTTCCTTTTGGTGGCCATTTTGAATTGAGGATCCATATCGGGAATTCCTTCTCAAGCAAGGACCTATTCCATAAAACATTAGTCTTCATGTATAAAAGGACAATTACTCTGATAGTGATAACCAATATACTATACTAGTAATACAATTTTGATGGAAGATCAGGAATTGGATATGGCAGATTACCTATTCAACAAGAAAAAAAATATATACTGACATCTTTAGAACTTTTGGTCTTTTCTTAAAACAGAGATGACTAGTTTTCCTTAACCTTTTGTAAATCAATTATTTATTTATTTTAGATTTTTTACCTTTATAAGTTTGTCCTCTCCACCAGATGCAATATATCTGCCATCAGGAGAAATATCCATTCCATTGATCTCCCCTGACTTGCATCCCTCTAGTTCTCGTATCTGGGCACCATCATATGATTCCCAGTAGCCAATCTTGCGGTCAGAGCCACTGGTGATGATCTGGCACTCATCTTTACTGTAGTTGACACACTTGAACATAGTGCTGGCAAAGATGATCTGGGATCTCACTTGCTTCCTGCAAATATTTATAACTAAAGTAGCCTAGTTTTTAATGATTTTGTAATGTATTCTTGACTGATTACCAACCTAATGTTGAAGCAGTTTGACTTTTACCAAATACGATCACAACCAAGAATATTAAAATTTGACTATTGCCCTTTAAAACACAATAGAAAACTAACTCCAGAGAGTATTTTGGAGTTTCAAAGCGACTAATTTACAGGGAATTCCCACTTTAGGCAGCCATTTTGAAATTTTAAAGGCATGAATCAGAAAAATGATACTATAAGTATGATCTACATCAAAATTCTATTGATTTGAGTATAATATAGGCCTAGTCATGCTTCGAAGAAGTCTGAACATTTTTGCAAAATCTGACATTAGGTGGCCATTTTGATTTGAATTCGCCAAACATTCCTGTAATTTTTAAACCAGTGGCCATCTTTAAATTAGATTAATAAACTTCTTTTATTCATTAAAGAGTGAGTGAATACTTGAAGCTGACTTATATTTTCCAACTTACGTCAAGTCCCATATGATGCAGGTACCATCAGCACTAGATGTGACACACTGTAGCCCATTCTCCCGCACCTTGATACATGTCACCTCAGATGTGTGCTCCTTCATTACAGCCAGCAGCTTAGAAGTCATCTGACCACGTCTCTGCACAGTCCATACTCTCACCTAAATAGCATATGATAGTGCATCTTTAAGCTAGAATCTCAGATAGAGGGTATGGCAATTGACAACAAGGCATTAACATGACAAAATGTCACCACCTAATTGCTCATAATATTATGAGTTCAATCTTAAGTCAGATTTGAATTTCTGAGAACTTGTAGATGATTTGTGAAAAAATTGGTCAATTTGAAGCAAGTTGAAAAAAGAATCTTGACCTTGAGAATGTCATTGAAGGTCAAATCTATAGTCAGATTTGAACTTCTGAGAACTTGCAGATGATGTTGAAAAAAAATTGATCAATTTGAAGCAAGATTAAAAAAACAACTTTTTAGCCTTGAGAAGGTCATTGAAGGTCAAATCTTTTTTGACCTTGAGAATGTCATTGAAGGTCAAATCTATAGTCAGATTTGAACTCTTGAGAATTTGTAGATGATTTTGAAAAAATTGTCAATTTGAAGCAAGTTGAAAAAAGACCTTTTTGACCTTGAAAAGGTCATTGAAGGTCAAATCTTAAATATAAAGTCAGATTTGAACTTCTGAAAACTTGTAGATGATTTTGAAAAAAATGAAGTCAGTCTAAACAGTATTTGTTAAGTTATTGGAAGTTGTAAGAATTTGTTACAGACGCCAACCACCAACCGCCGTAAAAAATGGAGACCATAACAATATGTCACAACTTTTTGGTGGTGACATAAAAATATAGCAGACAAAGCAACATCAATGATTTTCCAAACAATGTGTTATTGACCATTTCAAATAAATTCCATTAAAATATAAGGTGAACATCTTTTTAACAATGTGCCTGTCCAAATGGAATATTTTTGAAGTGACAAATAATAGGATGGTTCGCGGGCAATGGTTTAGTTTAATATGTTACCTGTCCCTCACTACCACCACTGACAATCTTCAATTCCTTGCTTCCTTCTTCATGGATACATGCGATTGCAGAGACCCCTTTATTATGGGCATCAGGTATGGTATACATGAGTTTGCCACTTTCAGGCTTGAACAATCTGATCTTGCCATCTATCCAGGCTACAAAGAACATAAAATTATGTCAACATGTTCATTTACATTTATATATATGCCATTCTTTTACCAGTTGCCAAGGGAATGAAATGCTTTGAAAATTTTGGGTAACATAGAATATTTAAACCATGGAAACATTAAATTCAATCGAGATATCTTTTGCTTAAGTCTCAACTAGTCATTTTCCTTCATCCTCCGATCACAGGGCTTCAAAATCCAGAATACTTCTTTCTTTTTACCCCCTGCGATAAGCAATTAGCATTTCCCCGATTAAGAACTCGCAATTTGATTCGCTGTAGCATGTATACATCATCGGCGCATAATTATAGATCACGTGATTCAGTTTTGTCAAGCGCTTCCAAATTGGCAGGGGGAAAGAAGGAGGTACAGATTCTGGACACCTGCTTAGGAGGATGATTTCCTTTTACATAAAGTTTTCGGTACTGTCAATTGCTTTATTTTGAGGGCTGTTTTAATTTGGCGGATCTGGTGGATTGATGAAAACTGTCAAATTTAGTCTACGCCAGTTTTTTGAAAAATCCTGGGACCTTAAGTTGCATTGAAAACTCTCAATATTTTGATTGTAACCCGATTTTTATTACATATTAGCTCATATAATGAAGGTAGCCCTCCTTAGGTGACTTCCCAACTAGCCCTCCAATATCCATATTTTACTGATCATATGGGTCAATCCCCCAAATTAAATAGCAGCCAAAATTTTGAAATTTGCCCAATCTGCCAAATTAAATACCATCAAATTAAAGCAATTGGCATTGCTTACTTACCACTAACTATACATGTGCCATCTCGAGTGAAGTCAATGGCCCGACATATTATATTTGGTACAGCAATGCGCAGAAGTTCTTTTCCTTGGTTCAAATTCCATATTTTTATTTCATCTTTTGCACAGGTAGCACAGAGTTCAGAACATTGACTGAAAACAGAGAGGTTCTAAAATGTAACTGATGAATCCAGATCTAATTTACTGCATTAAAATCCAGGTGGAAGTCCAAAAATTACACAAATGCGAGAACACAGTACCAAGAAATGACCCTTGAGAAACAACATCATTATCAATAGTTTATAGTTATATATTGGTCATATATTAGTTATGATATCTTATACAAAAGACTGCATGTGGGCATTGTATACAAACAATAAGAGTTCAAATATTACTGCACTTACTATGGGAATGCTACATCAAGAATAGCTCCATTGCTTGCTGTACATATCAGACTGCTTGTGAAGTCATGGAATTCAAACTTGTACATCTGGCATTTGTTTGTGGCTACAAAGAATTGGTGTCCCATCCCTCTGAGTGCAATTGAAGTGACAGCCCCTGCCACAGATTGGGTTTTTCTGGATAACAGCATATTAATAATGTATGAATATATGTGCGTGTCTGGTATAATAGGCACTTCCCTCGAAGTCATGTTATCAATTGGTGAAGCTCTTCACAATTCAAAGTGCAAAATTTGCCACAAATGTGCAAAATCTAAGTGTGGTAGAGAAAGGAACACATTTTTTTAAAATCTTTAGTTTTTCTCAAATTAATTAAGTATGCACTATTGGGATTTTTAGGAAATAGACATGACAAATTTACAATGAATCTCAAAGATATACATTTAGTGCAGACTTGTGTTGTATATATACACTTTATCACTTACTTTGTTCTCTTGAATGTTTCACTGTTTACAATAGAGACTGTTCCATCCCCAGCTCCAATTAGGAGTTCTTTGGACTCCTTTGCCTCCAGGGCATGAATGCACACAATGCCCTGGCTAAACTTTCCCTTTTCTGGACCAACCCGCAAACATTTGTGAGTCTTGGTGCTAATAGCTAAGATATCTCCTGTTGTTGTCCCACAGTACACTTCACTGTTATCTTTAGATATCTACATAACAAAATGTCATAATTCAAATATAGTCTAATATCAATTGAATATAATAATGTTAACAGATTTTATATAAAAAATGTATTTTATGAATACATGTACATTACAAGTATTATTTTGATAAGTTGTATGTTATAAATCAGTAAGTGCACTATCATGATCTAATACACAGATGCCGGCACGATCGTATGTGTAGTAATAGTACCTCAAGGATAGTTTTTTTTCTATTTTTCATTTCACAATTGTGCAGCCATTACAGAGGTTTCTGTGATAAATCATACCTCGTTCAAAGCGTCTTGTTAATATGTATCTCCATAATCACAAAAAAAGGTTATTCAAACATTCCTACATTAATAAGAGTTAAAAATAAGGTAATTTTGTCCTACAGGAAAGACTTTACCTAGTAGATTTCTAGAATGTGACATAAGCTTACAATAGGAAGCGCGCTATGTTCAAACTCAAAGCAGTAAATTTTTAGATGTTTAAACTTGAAATACAGCGTTCATACAAAATTTTATAGAACCTAACAAATTGCAATAGAAAGATGAAGTATTAGGCTATACGGGAGGTTTTGAAGGGTGGTCATTTTTTCCAGTTTTTTTTTTTTTTTAGTTTTTATGGTTTCTTTATTTTACTTTACAAAATTATCTACAAATGACAGGGCCGAGGCTGAAATCAGCATTATTGGCCCTGTTAATACAAAGTTTATTCAAATTTACAAAATAGCAACAAAATGACTACCAACATATATGTATGCATGGCAGGAATGTGTTAAAACTATATAATTATATCAATGCATTCACACAAAAAGGATGTAAAATGCTTCAATATTGAAGAATTGCATGTTATGCTAACTCCATCTCTGCCATACATTAAGATATTCAGCTTTTGCTCTATAGAGCATCCTGTAAAGAAAATGTTCATTTCTGGCATGTTCCTGAGTTCCCCCCAAAGTTTCTCTCTTATAACATTCAACAGAGGGCATTTGAAGATTAGATGCTTTGTAGTTTGTTGTTTAAAACCACAGATGCATTTGGGACTGTCAATACCTTGAAAATTATGTTGAAAAAGATGACCAGTAAAAATGAAATCACATCTTGTTCTATTCAGTAAAATTTCTTCTTTTCTTGTAAGATCCAGGTTTGTGGTTGTTAAATGCTTCATTGTTCCTGAATATTTACGTAAATTGGTTTTGAAAGTGACTCTTGATGGTGCACTTTTTAGATAATTTGGAATGGCTTCCCGCTCTCTTATGGCATTTATTATTGGTGACTTTTGTGAACGTGCAGTTAACTTTGGAATAGTGTATTCTCTTGATTTTCTTAAGTTAATATTATGTTGCTTATTTTGATAACTATCAAAAAATTTTTGAACATAAGTTGGGACCAATTTCTGTCTAACATCATACATTAAACGTAAACGTTTCTCCTTTCTCCGCTCAGACAGGGTATTCCAATTTAGACATTTCAAAACCTTTACAGTAGATGTTCCATGAATGCAGCCACTTACTAATAATGCTGCCCTATAATGAACTTGGTCTAGTTTCATAATATTATACTTGGTAGATTTTTCAAATAATATACTTCCATACTCTAAGTTTGGGAGAATAAATGATAGATACATCTTCTCTAGGTGTTTAGCTCGAATCTTGGTCTTAAGAACTTTCAATGGATTTAACATTATATTACATGCTTTTATGATATCCCGTAAATGGGCTTCAAAATTCAAATGCTCATCTAGAATGACTCCTAAGTGTTTATGAGTTCTGGTTCTATTAATGACCTCATTTCCTAGGTAGAGGGGAGGGTATAAGAGATTGCACCTCCTTGAGCCTTTAAAAATCATATCTTGACTTTTTTCCAGTGATTTTTGCAATTTGATGTCTCATCCCTTTGGTTTATTTATTGAGCCTAGCCTTCTACAATAAATATGATCTGACTGGCATCTGTGCTTTAATAGCTCCTAACTGCTACAAAGATAGGGCACTTATGTATTTATTAGCCAATTCAGCCATACTGTTCATCATAGCACAATTAATGTATACAGAGCTGTAGTCTTGCTTGAAGACCCTCCTTATCTATTTGAACTGTTGGGAGGTTGGGGGAGGTTGGGCAAGGCTAATAGAGATGTTGCTTTTACTGTCCATTGACACTTACTTCTAAGCACTTGACTATACGTTTACAATTGCCTGTGTATGCTTCTACTGGACGGATCTTTCTGTTTGTAACATCTAGACTCCATATCCTTATAGTATTACTGAAACCAAATGGTATTCATTCAAAAATGTAATGAGATGAAATCATTTAAAAATGATTGTAACATTTAAGATCCAGCTCATGCCAACTACTAATATATTTCAAAAATGAATTTTCAGTTGAACTAAGGCTACCATTTGTCATGTTTGTAGCCTTAAAAATCACCAACTTTTTTCACAATAATAGATATTATATAGGTTTACTTCAAAACATTAATTTCGGATAAATAAATAAAAAGCATAGTTATGAGTCTCAGACACTCCCTCCTCTGTTATCTCTATATGAGAAATGTTGATAGCCATGACACTTTGACTATAGACTCCATTTTTATCAGACTGGCTGTATAATAGAAGCTCAATATATAAACATGACAATTTATAGAGAAATGCTTACTTTCCAGCTGTGACAAACATGTTCTCATCATTGTTGGCAAAGCGTACCACATATGTTGTCCCGGCACTCTGTACCTGAGCAGGGGAACCACAGATTGCATCTCTGCGGGCTATATCCCAGATAACGATGCTGAAAAACAAACAGTTGTGTAATAAAATATTAATGGTAAAGATGAAGTCATATTTTTCAGTTTATCAGTAGTCCTCCAATACTATCTTAACTACCAAGCTGTCCAAATCCGATTTGATCAAGTAAAGTTTCCTGCAATAAAATCAGCCTCTCAGTTTCAAACATTGCCTGCACATTGATTTGACTTTTTTCTAACAAGGACTATATTCATGGGAATATGAAGAATACATAAAAGCTTACCTTCCATCATCTTGACCACCAAGTGTTGCCAGATACCTATCATTGGGTGAAAATGCAAGGCATTCCACCTTCACTTTGTGGAGAGTAAATGTGGCATAAATACATTTCTCTTCATAGTCCCAAACAATGACATCAGCCTGAAACCAGTTACAATATAAATCTAACAATGCTAGAGCAAGCTAGTATATACGCTTTAAATAGGCTTATTAGCCTTTTGCAGATTATTGATGTAGATGTATAGTAAAATATATTAATTGCCTGGCGAGAGGCAAGAGCTCCTAAAATGACAGCAAAAAATATTTTAACTAGACCAGCTATGATAAATTGTGATTGTATAGCTCTCATTTAATAGCTAAAGTGGTTCTTCTTGTAACCATTTTAATGTGGTAGACTTACTTTGAAGCCCATGTGAGTTTGCTGCCCAGATGCGATGTATCGACCACTTTTGGATACAGCAACACAAGTGACATTGTTTGTATGCCCTTGTAGGAAATCTTGCTTGTGATTGCTAAGGTTTTCTATGACAATTTTATCTCCTAGGGGATAGATGAGATGTTTCATATCTGGGTGTACCTTCAGCCCCTGTGGAACTTCCCCTGCAATATGTATATGCAACATTAATAATATGAGAGTATACATGTACAATAGGGTACATGTAGGCTGAAGAGGGGGAACCCCCACAGCTTTAGCGATGACTGACATATTATTAATTCTCACCAGTTAGTTTTCGAATATAACATGTTGTTGTGATGTTTTAATCGATGTACGCATATTCCTTACATTTTTCTTTATCTTGGTGTGAAAAACTAAGCTATGATATTGGTTAACATGCCAGAAATTAACATAATATTATTCAAAGGGGTATAAGAAATTTTGAATCCACCACGTACATCATCTCAATACAGGTTTACATTAAAAGCATATGTCATCTTTGAACCTGGGGTTAAGCCCCCCCCCCCCCCCTCCTTTGTAGGCTACAATGACAAGGAGACTGTCATTGCCATGTGAAATTTAGAAATTCATTCAGTTATATTAGGAACATGATCTCCTTTTCCAGAGGTAGTGAAAATTGCTCGCAAAAAAATCCAAAAAATGATCTTTCTGAAAATGTTAAAATATTTGTTCTAAATCATTCAACCTACTTACATTTGACGTACCACAGAGTTTTATGGCAGAGTGTATTTATACATCCCATAGCTAGTAAAAGAAATACCCGATACGTATCGAAGGACATATCAGCCGTTTTCTCAAAGAAATGGCCCTGTGTTCAAGTGACATTAGGATTCCAAGTTTTGAATAGTGTTGTCGCGATGTGCCATAATCGTAAATCGATGCATCTGCAATTTTCAGTAGTAAACATTGATGCACATCGCGATGTACATCGAGAAAATGTTCGAGAAAAGTGCACTGAAATACCGAACGCTAATGCACTAAAATACCGAACAGAACAAATTAATAAGAGTACGCTGGTACATCCGGGAACTTCTAGTAGTGGTGAAATGAAAGTAAAGTAAAATTTTTTAGATTAATGGTTCATTTCGACTCGCTAAAACAGTTTTAAAGCGAAAGAATATCAGAAAACATTGGAAAACGAAATAAGACATGAAAAAAGGTAAGCAATTTGTGTCAAAATAAGAAAAGAAAGGGCGATTTTAAGCAAATGAAAGTTTTTAGAAACATCGATGTTTTGTTTCAGACATCGATGCATCGCCAGAATCAGCTTTGGCGATGTATATCGCTATGTATCGATTAATCGCGACAACACTAGTTTTGAACTGACAAAAGGTAGGTGATATATAACGCCGTGATGGCCAAACCTACTGTATATAACGAAAAAAGAAAATCGTGGCAAAAAAATGGGATATACGTCAATTTTTGGACTGAGGAGGACCATAATTGGAAGGTTTTGGTTATTTTAATATTGTGCAAGAAGTTTCTCTCTAATTGGATCGATATATATTGTAACAGTACCATGCAACTACTTATTAAATGGATAATTAGAATCACTCCAAACCAACTGAATCATCTTGATTAGGCTAGGCCTAAGGTAGACAGGGATGCCCCGGCTCTGATGAGTTTGACTATTGGAGTTTTGACTTACATCAGAGGTGTAGGGTCACCTTCTATATCAGATTTATAAATAAAGACCCTACAGGTGCATCTAGGCCTAGTCCTAGGGTAGGCCTAACCAAACCCGTGTGGCCCAGTTATCTACTCCCGTACTCCTAGATCTACGACAATTCAGAATCGGGAGTAGATTACTGGGCCAGACGGGTTTGGTTAGGGTAGGCCTTATCCTGTACCAGGACTATAGTCCTGTATGGAGCGCACTCTTTTGCCTGTACGATTACAACTTGGGAGAATTATCTACGCCCCTTACACTTAAGATACCTACCTCAATGCATTATAGCACTCAAAATGTAACTTCTAATATATTGGAACCGCCGATTGTCTGGGTATATCGCCAGAACGGGAACATTTTTCTTTTTCATCGAGAGAGATTCCATCACTTTTCAAGATGGCGGTTGGATTTAAAAGGGGAATCCCCCGTATGACTGTCCCGGATGTGGACCGGAAGTACCAATATGGAGGAATTTGACGGTTGAAATAAGTAAATGTTACACGCAAATATTGCGATCAAAAACGAAAATGTCTTCGTTCTGCCGATAAACCCAGACAATTGTGGATTCATCTACACGAAAAGAATGCTAAAATACCAAGGAATCTATTGAAGTAGGTATCTGAAGTGTAAGAAGCGTAAAAAATTCTCCCATGTTGTAATCGCACAGGCAAAAGAGTGAGATGTTCACAGGACCATAGTCCGGGAACAGGATAAGGTAGGCCTAGCTGCGAGCATCAAAAATTTCAAAATTCGGATTCGACCTTAGGAAAATCAATATTTGATAAATACATACCATTAAATCCGAAAGCACTCTCTAGTTCCAACTTGGGAACATCTATTGGTGTCTGTGACATTATTACAGTCTGTTTTCAGTTCTCTGTCCACTTATAAATTGATATTTTGATGTAAAAGTGAAAAATTATCTGCGCTCAAGAAATTTTGAACGTTGCTATTGGAGACTGACAACTACGCATGCGTGATATTTAACTCTTATAGCGACATCTTTCAACGCACGTTTGTAACTAAAGTGTAGCAAACAACCGGACTATTTGGAATGCGGTAACATACTGCGCAATGGTAAACAAGGTCAACATGATCCAAGGTCTAGACATTTCCCCAAGAAAACTATAATCAATTATGCACCGACGTTGGTGAATGACATTGAATTCTTATTCATTACTCTGCACAGTATATAATATGAGCACAATAATCCAACAATTCCTGGTTGATCAGTAGTTGTACAAACTGTTGAAAATCAGAACACAATTTGGCACAATCCTCTCCCATGTCTCCATCCAAAATGGTTGTTCAAGGTGATAATTTATCTAATAAAATAGGCCGTAGTGCTAAAGTGGATATTTTTATTCTTATTTTTTGACTTTCCAAATATTTTTTAATTCTTTGTAGATGATTTACCCACTCGTGTCTTGTATCCTGGACTTGGGATTTGGGCTGCCACCCTCATTCAGTTTTGATGATTTAAATCATCTATGGTTTATCAAGTCCTGGGGCTAAATCAGGGTTAAATAATGCTTTTTTGCAATATGCAAGATTTTGTTGATTTTATATTCACCATCCATGGGCCTTACATCTGCCATATTACAGATAAAATATCACTCTACATGTAGTTACAATGCAATAACAAACACACTTTAAGCTTTCATTTCAAGTTATGAATTTAATCATAGATTTTTGTACAATTTTTACACAATATGATTAGATGATGACCCGTTACATACACACAGCCATCTTTATAATTATAATACATTGTACTACAATCTGTGTACACTGCAGTGTACTAATAACTATACATTACTCTCTATCTATCCATCTTACAAGGCATATTTCAATCACCACAAACTAACACAATATGACATTTGTCCCAGGAGCGACTGTTTAAGAGATTGAAGTTTGAATTAGGGTAAGAAGTATGAGTTCTTTTTGCAATAATAATGAAAAAACATGCCAAAGCGAATATTGGTGGTTTAGATAACAGAAATCTACAAGTTAGTGATATGGAAAAGCATGACTAAATCAATTACAATTATTCTATTAAAAGCATTGGTAATAATTCTTGAACAATGAACAGAACATTGTATATACTTCTCTCTGCTAGCATGGACTATAAATTATTTTTGGAAGATTTACAAAGTACATCATTATTGCAATACTATAAGACAATGTCAATTCCAGGGTGCAACAAGACCTCATTGTTGTATAAAGTTACAAGAATGACCCCATTGTTAAAACATATAAAAATTACCTCTGAGAAAAACCTTAAAAACAGAGTGAAATCAAATGTTAAACAGAGCATTACCATACAAAATGCCACTACCTGCCACGCTGACCACCAAACTCTGTTACAGATGCCAAACACAGTTACAAATGCCGAACATCAACCATCCAACACCAGCCATGAAAAAATTGGATTTTTCCTGAAATGTTGATTTTCAGCCCTTTCCACACCTGTTTTTTCAATGTTATTGTCTAGGCTATTTTTGAAATTTGAAAAAAATGTATCGCAATTTCAGATAAATAAGCTTTACTTGCCATGTTATTCAATTCATCAACAACTGCTGCTCAAGATACACCTGTAAATCTGTACACAATAGCCACTTATTTTACATTTATCAAAGGACGATTCTCGGTTTGGAGAACGAAGTTCATCAATCTAAATGAGCATTATCCCTGCTTCGGACAAATTTGATATTTTTACATAATATAGATTTGAATGTCCTTTTTTGAATAGTCATAATTTAATTTGGGTAATATTTCTAGATTTTTCGCAAAAAAAATATTACCGCAGTACACTGATGAACTTCTTTCCCCAAATCGAGACTTGTATTTTATTGAATCAGTCAAATTGAACGTTATCCCTGCTTCAGACCAATTTGTTAATTTTACATCTTGTAGATTTAAATGTCCTCTTTTGAATATTCATAGTTTAATTTGGGTAATATTTCTATATTTTTCATTAAAAAAATTATTAACCCAGGAGACTGTTCTCCAAACCGAGAATCGTCCTTTGAGGAAATTCAAGATTGGACTACTACATTACTAGCCTCAAATGAATCACAGTATCCAACTGATGTATCTGAATGTTGGAAGGTGGTATATTTTGTCCAGGCCCCAAGATGTTTTTCATATGCAAGTAGCCAAGTAATTTTGCCTCAAATTACATGAATTAAGCGTGGCTGTCATATATAGAGATCATCTGGTAACATGTAAGTTGAAGAATTAAAATAAACTGAGGTATTTTTTATCTGTTTTAATCACAATTCTTTTATTACCCTATTCCATGGGACTTCCTATTATTTTTGCATTTTCCAATTCAATGCATTTTGAGCATATCATTTAAATATTCTAGTTAAAGACTAAAATATCACATGACTGATTACATGATCACTTGAAATAAAATTGCATTCTGATACAGAACTCACATTTGGCATTGTAATAAACACAAAATGTTACTGCATGGAATAAGGTAACACATGATATCATAGTTATATTATTTATTATGAACTTAATCTAATATATTAAATCTTGCAATTCAGCTAGTGGCTTCAATTTTCATTTTTTTGGCATCAATCTCTTCATGACTACTAGATTGAGTATCAGTAGAGTTTGTTTCTACTTTATTGTTAACAGAAACAGTCACTGGGGGTGTTGCCAGAGGGCGCTTTATGGCTTCAGTCTTGTGCACAAGCTGCATAATCTGAGGGCTAGCTGTAGTATTGGTGGGGGTGAATGACATTGGCATGGTGGGGGTCAACGTTACAGTAGACACAGGCACTTGCTGGCGAAAATGACCCTGCAATAGATAACACATATTAAGTCCTAAATTCCAGCAGAAGACAAAGGCAATGCCAAGGTGTAGCAAATCCAATCAAAAAATAGCTGGATAGTACAGGACAGTATAAAATGTTAAATATAACATTTTTGCGAACATTTATACTGAATCTTTTTCATTTTTATTTTGATACATTTATTTCAATATATTATATTATGTTGATCCCCAACCTGGTTAAATGGCTTTGCTTAACTCCTTTCTGCTGATTTACGAGTTTTTACGACTTTTTGAATCTCCCGCTATTGTCAGCTGCCACGCCCCCCTAACTTGCCACAAGAACGTTTTTCGTCCAGTGTAATTAAAACTCCGCGCATGCTCAGTAGTTCAGTCAAAAAAATTTAACAATTTTTCATTTTTCCGGCTTTAATCGATCAAAAAACAAGTTTATGAACAAAGAATCGTTTCAACTTTAGTTAATTACGATGCCTAGGTAGACAATCAATGCCTAGACACCCAGAACTGCGGCCAATATGGGATAGGATAGTAAATATCCCGGCTGAAAGTGACACAGAAACCAATGATGAATCGGATCTTGGGGAAGCGTTGTGTTGTCCTCATCAGACTCAGAAAATGATTCTGACTCAAATTCTGACTCCTCAAACTCAAGTACCGACTCAGATTCTGATGAGGATTTTTATTTTAACCCTTGGGAGTCTAATAACAAGACAGGGGGTATATCTTTTTATACTCTAAACAGATAGATAATACAATTTCCTTTCCAAAACTGTATAGTTTTACTATGTTCTGACCAATACTTTCAGAGTTATGATTTTTTAAAGACGACGACTGTCATTTTTGTCAATTTTTACGCGCTTTCAGGATTAACTTCAGCAGAAAAGAGTTAAAACCAGTATGAAACCCGATAAAATTAGTATATAGGGTGTCTCAAAAAAATGTACCCAAAAGTATATCAACGCCATAGACAAACCAATCAATATTTTCAGACATTTTTGGCATGGTCTTGTACATAAAAGATGAAAGTTTTTTCCCCTATACACAGTTTTTAATTCAGTTTTGCCTTTTTGATACTTTAACCCGTTACCTTTCACACCACATATTCAATGTTACCTAATATTTCGATGACAGTCTGCATCCTTACTACTACATTGTTATATTTGATATATCTGGTGGACTGTTTTGATTTCTGTTCGGATGCTGGTCTTAAGTTGTTCTAGGTCTCTTAGCTTGGGTTTAGCATAAAAATGGTCCTTCAAATAGCCTCAGAGAAAAAAGTATGGGCCGTCAAATATGGTGAATAGGAAGGCCTTCACAATGTCTTAAGCCCCCTTATACAGAGAGGTCAGAGGTTCAAGAAACTGCATTGCTTGGAATTCTAGTGTAGCTTTTGTTTGTGTATCAATTTGAGACCACTGTGTTTTCATTTGGATATGATTTGGTCTCCATGCTAGCCTGCCTAACTCTGGAAGGTAACTCCTGAATCATTTGCCAAGAATTGACCTGATTATCTGTGTTTTTTCTGCCATCGTCATCCTCAAACATCTTTCTCTGTGGCTATTTGAAGGAGTGCTTTAATGCTCATTCCAAGTAAAAAGACCTAGAACAACTTAAGGGCAACATCCAAAGAGAAATCCAAAACATTCCACCGGAATTATTATCAAATGTGATGAACAATGTAGCAGTAAGGATACAGGCTGTCATCGAAATATGAGGTTACATCGATTATGTGGGGTATAAGATTAAGGGTTAAAGCATCAAAAAGACAAGACTGAAATAAAAATGGTGTATTAGGGAGAAAACGTTCATGTTTTGGCTACATGACCATGCAAAAAATGTCTGAAAATATTGATTGGTTTATCTGTGCTCTTGATATTCTTTTGGGTACATTTTTTTGAGACCCCCTGTATTATACAACTAGAAATCGGCAACTCCATGGAGTAGCAAATCCCAACGAACACTATCTAAGTCATGAATCTGTACAGTCACAATGTAATTTACCATCTTCTCTTCTCTTCAATAAATAAATCACAAAAACAAAACCATTTTGTTATCTACTCTAAAATTCATTCAATTATTTGAGTATAATATAGCCATATTTCTAAGAGGTCAGAAAATTATTGCGAAATCCCAAATTAGGCGGTGATTTTTAAATTAGGAGGGCTGAATCTTAAGAAAAATACAATATTTGCAATCTACTCTAAATTGCCTTTCATTTGAGTATAGTAAAGCTTTACTTCAAAAACATCGCAAATTTCTGTTTTCCCAACCCCCTATTTTCAAAAAATAATATTTAATACTTTAGTTAAAAATGAAAAACATAGATTTTTGCAAAAAATTACCACCATTTTTTAAAGTGGCGGCCATCTTTTTTGCTTAAAACTATTCACCAATATACGTCTTTCCACCAAATATGAAGAAAATCCATCAACTAATATTCAAGTTATCTTCTGGACGGACAGACGGACTGATGGACAGAGGGCTTCACTATATCCCTACTGAACTTCGTTCGTTGGGATAATAACACTAAGAAAGACACATAAGGAATGATTCTGCAAATGAAGAGGTATTGGAAATTTACTAACCTGTTGGCCTAATGCCTCTGTTTTAATGATAAAGTGTTGTTGCTGCTGTTGCTGGGCAATCTGTGACATCTGCGCATGTGTCATAATATGATGCGATTGCCCTGAGTTACCAGAAACATTGATGTGTTGCACTAGAGCTGGGTTCTTCAGCATGGCCTGAGTTGGGGCCACAATTGTCACTGTTTTTTCTAGAATAAGAATATCAATCAGTTTAATACTGTGCAATGAAAGGCCACTAGGCTAAGCAATGACACATTATTGGATGTAATTACTTTTTGAGCCTATGAGCAAATTCACTGTCCTGTACACCGACTAAATTGGAATGGTATTAATAAGAATGCAGATACTGACCTTTATTTTCTGTATTGACTGTAGTTGTCCCATTTATGATTGGCGCACTATTTGCACTACTTACTGTCACTGCAGGGTGGGACATATACACCTAAAAAACATACATATACATGTTGAACAAATTTAAGAATGTAGTTCAATGTACAAGGGCACCCTTAACTAAAATTGGCACCATTTGTTGATTTGATAATAAAAAGTTGATTTCTTCAAAACAAGGTTAAAGTAGGAGCTGGGACCTTGGTAAGTAATGCATCATTCAAAGGTTTGCGTGAGACTTCCACACGCTGGAGTGGAGATTTTGACAAAGTTGGATTCCTATATGGTCCTATAAGCCTTATATGGATCTATCACACGACTAATATCGAAACAGTTCTTAACGTTCATAACACAAAGCATCCCTTAAATTTCAGATAATCCATCAAATAGTTTGGCTTGAACTGTAGACAAGACTTCATAATGGAAACCTTAACATTTACACATAATGCCCAAAAGCTAACTAGTCCTAGATTTTCATTCACAAAACATCCTGATAATTTGAAATCAGTTAACAAGACCTAACAGAAAAGTTTAAGGAAGGAAAATCCAAAATGGCAACCTTAACATTTACCCCATAACATCCAAAAACTAATCAGTTCTCCATTTACATTCAGACCATTCCTAAAAATTTACTAAAATCAATTCTTCAAACCTGGAAATGCATAGACAAAATTATAACTGATCACAATATAGCACGCAAGTGTGAGGGAGAGGAAACTGAATTTCAGTTGTTTGTCAACTTACCTTGGGTTTTGTAATAACTGTTGGCATTTGATGTACAGCACCTATAGAGTTGGGTAAACCATGAGTCACAGGAATTGGCGATACAACACGGCTATCTGAAACAACAACTAAACATTAATGACTTATTCAACTGATTCAATGTCAATATACAATATACCTATCTTTACCTATACCTATCTTTACCTATCTGGAACAAATACACAAACATTTACAAGGCATTCAAATGACAATTTACCTCATTGCAGTAGGCCGATATGAAATAGAAAACACAATGTAAGTTGCTAATTCATTGCAAAATGGTAATAGATATTGCTTAGAGGTTTCTGCTAAGAACAAGCTATTCAATCAGAAGGAGTGAAACACTTGGGTTACTTCAATTGAAAAGGTAAGCTTGTTATGTTCTGGATCTGAATCACAAGACAGTATTTTTGTTCCAAGATGAGAGCCAAGAGTTAAATTCCATGAATTGGAACTTTGTGTATTGTGACAAAATAATGCATTCTTACTTTGAGGTGACCCAGGGGCAGATTGTGAAAACCTTAGGTCATTAGATATCTGCACCAGGGGTTTATTCATCGGTGTACTACTATCATCTCGATGGAAGTTTTCAGGTATGGGGCTACTCTCTCGTGATAAGCTGTCAGGTGTGAATGAGCCGCTAATTCCGACATGGCTAGGAGATGCTGGTGCAGACCTGCATATAGAATGACGACTATAAGTCTATGAGGAACAGGGACATGCAACATAACATGTATTTACCTAATATTACAATCTTGATGCTTATTTCGGCTTTCAAACCATTGCATAATTAGTAATTCGATACTATTTAGTAAAACATATGAGGTTACAACTAGAAAAACAGCAACTCCAAGGAGTAGCAAATCCCACGAACAAAACATGTTTTGATAAATAGCAGTCATATAAAATTTGTGCCAAATAAATCCACTTTCTCAGGTGGGTGCAAATTCTCATTTTCAAAATTCAGACCAAAGTTGGTAAAAATATGCCAATTTTTCATGATTTTTCTCATTTTCAAGTGGGTGCAAATGGATTTTCAGGTGGGTGCAAGCCTATTTTAAAAATCTCAGGTGGGTGTTGCGCCCACTTGCTTTAATGCAGGGGAGAAACATGGTTGCCATTTTGAAATTCAACTGTCATATTTAGATTTCTTCTTTAGCAGAGCTCCTATGTCCCAAGGCATCAGCATATAAAATTTAATCCAAAGCCGTCAACTGGTACTTGAGTTATCAAGGATTGTATGTTAAATGAAAAATGGCGGAGATTTCGATAAATTGCAGCCACCTTGAAAATTTGTTTTCAAGCAGAGCTCCTTTATCTCTAGGCATCAGTATACAAAATTTGAAGTAAATCCGTCCACTGGTATTTTGAGTTATCAGATTACCTTTTTATGGCAGCCATTTTGAAATTCAGCAGACGCCTTTGAAATTTTTTCTGAAGGAGATCTCCTTCTCCCCTAGACATCAGCATATCAAAGTGGAACCAAATCCATCCACTGGTATTTGAGTTATCAATGATTACGTTTCTTTACGAAAAATGACAGCGATTTTGAAATTCAATGGCCATCTTGAAAATGTCTTCTTGAGCAGAACTTCTTTGTCTCCTGGGCACCAGCATATAGAATTTGAACCAAATCCATCAACTGGTATTTGAGTTATCAATGATTATGTTTTTTACGAAAAATGACAGCGATTTTGAAATTCAATGGCCATCTTGAAAATGTCTTCTTGAGTAGAACTTCTTTGTCTCTAGGCATCAGCATATAGAATTTGAACCAAATCTGTCAACTGGTATTTGATTTATCAAAGGTTACATTCTTTTAAGAAAAATGGTGGCCATTTTGAAATTTAGCTGCCATCTTGAAAATCCCTTCTCGAGCAGAGCTTTTATGTCCTTAGGCATCAGCATGTAAAATTTGAACTAAGTCTATTCAATTGTATTCGAGTTATCAAAGATAATGTTTTCTTATGAAAAATGGTGGCCATATTAATATAGCGGCCATCTTGAAAATGTCTCTTTGAGCAAGGCTCCTTTGTACCCAAGCAACAGCATATAAAATTTGAACCAAATCCATCCACTAGTATTTGAGTTATCAAAGATTACATTTTTTCCAAAGCAGCCATACTGAAAATTCCTTCTCGAGCAGAAGTCCTACCCCCATAAGGCATGAGCCTATAAAATTTGAATCAAGGTTGTGAACTGGTATTTGAGTTATTACCCAGACAGTTGGATGAACGGATGGACAGCTTTCCTATATCCCCCTCGAACTTCGTTTGGTGGGATAATAACAAATAATTCCATGTTACCTTGTTGATAATCCACCAAATGGTGTCCTGAAGCATGGCACTCCACGTTGTCTCCGCCGCCTAAAAGCCTGCTCTGTTAGTTTTGCCTCAGATGCCGGCTCAATGCGCCAAAATGAGCCCTTCCCAGGCTCTTCTTGTGAGCGGGGTACTTTGACAAAGTAACGATTTAATGAGAGATTATGTCGTATTGAATTCTGAAATAAAATAGACACATTCGGAGTATTAAAAATCTAGTTGTTTTTAATTTGAATCTTATTAAAATTATCGAATTACAATGTACTTCGATTCTGAACATTTCGTTTCATGCCTATAAGGCTGATAACATATGATCACAGTATTTCACTCTAATTTAATGGAATAGAGTATTCATATTCTTCAAATTAGGGGAATGAAGGAAGGGTTTAAGTCAGCTGAAGTATTCCGGGGTATATGGAAAAGAGCCAGCCTTCTGATAGGTAGTGGTCGGTCGGAGGATACAGGAACCAACAATGAGACCTTCTAATTTAGTATGTACTTAGTTCCAGAGACTTTACCACATAGTATGTGTGACAAACTATTTTAAATCATAACAGAAAACTGTAAGTAATATTCCAATTCTGGGAAAATATTTTGATATCTTACTTAAAGTTTAACACATTTTTTATTTACCATATTAATTTTTCAAACTGTGTGGATAATATGCCCAGTAGGGTGTCATAAGTTCTATGCTTTATGTTAGATTTCTCAGTCTCTAAAGTAAGACTTTGGTTTACAAGTCTTTTTAAGCCTCTTTTAATGAGTGAAGAAATTGTAATCAGCATACATCTATTATACGTGACGGTAGATTAAACTGAGTAGTGTAACAGTTACATCATATGCTTAATTAATGGGCTGAACGAAAAAGACATACCCCTCTGACCACCAACCTTCAAGCACGGACTATAAGTTTGAGCCCGTGTCAGTCTTTTCAATACACCCTCCATTTGGTTGATAGTCAAAATTCTTTATTTTATCAACATTTATAGTTAACCTACCTGCCAGCCTTTATCTGCAGTTCTGTAATAGGGATAGTTTTTTGTAATATATGTATATGCCACTTAGAGTCAATTGTTTATCAGGAGCTGAAGTTATGGCTTGAACTATTAACTGAGCATATGAATATGGAGGCTTAGACTCGTCTTTTGGTGAATTGCTGCTACTGCTCTGTGATTCCTTCTCCTCACGTGACTGGGCTGCATAGACGGCAGCTGCTATCTGGAGGTCAGGGAGGGCATATGTTGGCCGACTGAAACCTGCCCCTCCCCTAGGACTAGTAGGACATGAGTTAGCAGCGCTGAAATAACAAAACAGGCTATCTATTAGTTTCCTATTTCTTGGTAACATAAGGTAAAAAAACACTTGTACAAGAAATGTTATGACACAATTTGATTTTTTTTATTCGCATTCTACTCACATATACAGGGTGACACAAAAACGCCACCCTCTTATTTTGGAATAATTTTCTTTTTATGGAAGAAAGATTGGAATGCTTGCATAGCATCAACAATTTTGAGGTTTGATCAGATTTCTAATTTACATGTTTGAATGATTTTGTGTCAGAGTGTGCCTATGAGAAAAATGAGATCTACCAATTCCCGAGTTGTTAATGCACACAAGCATACCAATCTTTCTTCCATGGAGCACTCTACACATAAAAATATGAAGATTCCTTAATTATTGAGAAGTTTATTCCAAAATAAGTGGGTGGCATTTTTTGTGTCGGCCTGTACTAAGTCTTTATTCCACAATTGTGTTTCAAGAAATGTAAGCTGTAAAATTATATAACCACTAAGTAACAGAATAACATTTTAATGACTTGCTAATTATAACTACCCTAGAACAAATAATAATGTAATAACAAACAAAAAAAACAACGACAAAAAGTATAAGAAAAAAACAACAGATTTTAGTACCCAAGAAGTAGGCTTAAGCAGCATCCAATATCATTCAATTCATAGCTAAAAATGAAATGAAGATTATTCAAAGTGAGGATAATAAAATCTGAGCCATCTTTTTGTTGAAAAATTACAATAATACAGGATGTCTTGAAAGTATGCCCCCCCCCCTAGGCAGACATATACCTGTGTTGTCATAGTATGTGTCAGACATATATCATTTTAAAGCTTGACCAAAGTTACATTGATTTGCCAAGTATCATGGTTCAACTCTCAAATGTGAATAAATTACATTTCAAAAGAATGAATGACATTTCAAAATTTAGTATTTGGCCAAAATTAAGTTCAATTTTACACCAAATCACTAGTAAATGTGTCCTACCGGGTCAGATGGATATTGAGCTGGAAAAAGGGAATGGTGAGGGTACATACTCCAAGGAAACTCTTCTAAAATGCCTTAAAAGGTTTTAAGAGGATTACAAAAGTCCACACCCCTATTTGAAGTATGGCTGTGATTGAATCGGTTCTTCTCTGCCATATGGTCAAATACACTACATCTGCTGCTTTTCAGATAATTGCATCAACAATATTCTAATTTTGTATAATATAAAATCTGTGATTTCTACAGTTCTATCTGCCAAGATAAGCCTACCTTATTGTTCCAGTTGGTGAAGGACAGGGACTACTAAAGCTAGCCTCTCTCTCAGGGATGTCTATTTTTAGTGGTGGCATAAATAATTTCTTTTTCTGTGGACTTGGTAAGTTGGCTGCAGGGGCTGTTGCTAGTTGTTCATTATCTGGAGTGAGTGCTTGAAATATGATGCGGATATTTGTACTTGGGAACCTCAGTACACATCTGAAAATGCACAAAGAAAGAACTGTTACAATATATTGGAATAACTGGCTCTGAAAAACTGAAAAATATTGGGATTACTTTAATTTTTATACTCTATAAAAACATTCACATTACCGACCTTCATCATTGATCTACAATACGAAAAATGTATGAACAGCGTAATCTACCCAAACCTTTTTAAACACCATTATACACCGAGGGAACAACACAATACTTTTTATGCTGAATGATGAAATTCTTACATATCATTTCATTCTCTTGTAAAATTGTAACTATTTTGGTACATTTCAGTTGGGTAAGTATGTAGACATCAATGTTTTGATAAGGGTATACAAATACATTGCAGTGATGAGAATAGTTCACTACCACTTAACTTACAAATAGATTATCCTAAAAGTTGAACATTTTTTGTGGTACATACATTTTCCACTTCTAGTACAAATACGTACACTTTGAAAAACATAGATGAGCAGAGATGATATTATATTTATATGGTTTCAGAAGATCCCTAGCTTTTTTGTATGGTATTGCCTTTTGTTTTTTTAACTAACTGATGTCAACAGAAAGACAGAGTGAACAGAATTCCAACCTTGAATAGAATAGAGTTTTCGGGGCAGCCAACCAAACATTTACCCAGACTGCCTAAAAACGAATCAGTTCTTAACTTTCATATGAATCCCTGGAGTGGTTGACTGGAAACGAGTAGACATTAGACAAGCCTCGACAGACAATATTTTAGGATGGAAAATCCAAAATGGCTGCCTTAAAATTTACCCAGAATGCTCAAAACTAATCAGTTCTTTCATATGTAGAAACATCCCGCCTTAACATTTACCCAGAATACCCAAAAAATAATCAGTTCTAAATGTTTACAGTGCATGAAATAAGGATTTTTTTAACCTAGACAATTTGGCAGGCCTGCCAGATTTTAACAAGCCATATCATTTTTTCTCAGGCCAATTTTTGGCAGGCTGTTTCTTCCTTCTCTGGCCAAAAATTTCACTTACCATATTTCTCCACAACCACTCTAAATTGAGATTTAGTTTAGTACAATATTAACAAAGATAAAACTAATTGCATATTGCATGTCATGTATCATTCACTATACTGTACTCGATGACTTAACCAACAGCCTGAGTGTGTTGATCCCCCCCTAGATTCACCTTGCAAAAACATGAGGAACATGTACATATTGATCAAACTAAATTGTACTGATTTTGTTCGGTTTAGAATTGCTCAGAAATCAGAAGCTTCAAGGTATTCAAAAACACATATTATGTACACAGACTCCACTAAAATTCAAGGTATAATATTATTGGTGTCACGGTCAAAAAAATTCGGTACGGTTTGGATCGGTACAAATGGTCTCGGGATACGGTACTTTCGGGACGGGACGGGACGGGACGGGACAGACAGAACATGATACAATCGTCTGATGATGACAGTTTCACTTTCACTTTCAGTTTCACTTTTCAAAATCACATTCAGAAATACTTCAATTAAATCAAATATAAAGCATCTGCCGCGAATGTGATCGGCATTTCACATAGTCTGCATGGTGTACTATCACCAATTCGTTTACCTTGTGATATCGGAGTCCCAAAATACTTCCAAACTGCCGACTTTTTCGACTTAGATGCCGGCTCGATTTTTCAATTTCTTTCCTACATCCGGCATACTGATAATGCACTCGATTTGCGAACGACAATTAAGAAATGAGTCATTCATAGCCAATCAAAATCACCGTAATTTCAACAAACAACAACAGCCAATCGAAAGTCACGTAATATCTTGTGCTTCGGTACCAAACAAAAATATTTTGAAATGTTTTTCAATCTTCAACAAAAGTCATGAAATAAGCCGAAAACGCAGGGAATTCGGAGGATTTCCGGACTGATATGTAAGTTCTATTCATGGGCAATCTAACGAATGCCACAAATGTCTAGCAGGCCAAAATGTCTGGGTGTTTTTATCAAAACAAGCCATCTATAATTTTGTCAGGCCAATGGCCGATGTCGGACGTCTATTTCGCGCACTGGTTTATATATAGGAACATTCATGAAATTTTCAGATGAATCCATGAAACGGTTTGGCTGGAAACATGTAGCCAAACCTAGACACACAGGATTTTAGGATGGAAAATCCAAAATGGCCACCTTAAAATTTACCCAGAATGCTCAAAACTAAGCAGTTCTTTCATAAGTAGAAAACATCCCTGAAAATCTCAGATAAACCTCTGAAACGGTTTGGCTGGAAACCCGTAGATAAAATCAATCAGGATGACAACCCCCCCCCCCCCCCCCCCCCCGGCAAACAGACCACAATATAACACCCAAGAATACAAATAGACAAAAACTTATACAAATGACTTGTTTTAAGTCTAGATTCATTAATTATATTCCTAATATCTGGTCTTATCTGAAACATTTATATCAAAGTAAACAAATATTTGCAGTTGAGCTAACATGTGATATTCTTATTTGATGTCATAGGGTGCACATGCTGTATGCATTCTTTAGACCCTATCTTAGGGTAACATGATTTTGGACACTCACTCTGTTGTATTTGGTCTTCATTTGCCAATAAAAATAAACAAGAGTTTATCATTGCACTGACCTGTATTAATCATTACATACAGAGTGAATGAGATTGCTGTTTTGGCCAGAGCTGATCAATAGGTAGCATAGGTGTGCCAAACACATGGCTGACTTCTGATTTATAGAGTGAGGTTGTTAAACATTTCATGGCATGTAACCAATGAGATGGTATAAGCAATGTGCTGATGATGGTGTATAATCAATGTAGTGCTCAATGTGTCTAAGTCAAACTTATACTCTACTATACTCTACCAATAATATCTTATTCATGATAAAATTTAATACATGGCATTAAAATGACAAAATGTCACCTATTTCAAAGGTCGTTGAAGGTCAAGCAAGGGTCAAATTTCAAACCTAAAGAAAGAATTGAACTTTTGAAAAGAAAATTGGGTAATTTGAAGCAAATTCAAAAAATACTTTTTTTATCCCGAGATGATCGTTGAGGGTTAAAATAAATCTCCAATCAAAAGTTAGATTTGAACTTTTTGAGAACTTGTAGATGATTTTGAAAAAATGATCAATTTTGGGCAAGTTGAAAAAGACCTTTTTGACCTTGAGAAGGTTGTTGAAATCCAAATCTGAAATCTAAAGTCAGCGTTGAAAATTGCAGATGATGTTGAAAAAATTAAATTGGTCACAATTGAAATAAGAAAATACCAACTCCACGGAGTAGGAAATCCCATCGGCAAATAATGTTTTGATAAATAACGGTTATCCTAAAAATTTTTACCAAATCCGTCTACTGGTATTTGAATTATAAGAGGAGATAAAGCGCCAGAGCTTTAGCAATGACTGACATATTACGTCTCTTGTGTACCACCTTTGTTTGCGCAAATTCTCACAAGTAAGTTTTTGAATATAAAGCATCATTGTGATCTCTTAATCGATTTAAGCATATTTCTTACATCTTTCTTTATCTTGATATGAAATAACAAGCTATGATATTGGTTAATATTATTCAAAGTGTTATTATAAAATTTTGAATCCGCCATTTTTGTTTGTCAATTTTGACCAATCAGAGATGTGGGTCATCTCAATACAGGTTTACATTATAAGCGTATGTCATCTTTGAACTCTAGGGTTAATCCCCCTCTTTTGAGTAATCAAAGATAACATTTTTATGCGAAATGGCGCCGATTCTAAAATTCAGCTGCCATCTTTAAAATGTCTTCTTGAGCAGAGCTGGATAGCGAGACCAAAAATCTTCAAAATGAACCCATAAATGCCTCGCTTTATTACAGTAATTATGTGTAATCGTTGCAGATAAGACAAAATTGCATTTCCGACCGGTCTTCTTGACATTTTCGCTGACCTAATTTCAAGTGCGCATGCGTTGCATAAATCAATGAGATGATCACGTGACATAATTTGATGATCACGTGACGTAATGTTTTCCCAAAACCAGTTGGTAAAACTGCTGTAGTGGATTCTTGATTCAATATGTTTGTTATCACTTGTAACTGTTCTGGCTTCAAATCAAATCCAAACTTTGGTTTTATGTTATGCGAATAGAGATCTTTGATTTCTTCGGTCGAATACATGATGGTCGAATGAATGATATAAACTCTGAATAGTTAAATAGATGGAAGCAATATTCAATGGCTACTCTCATCAAATCTCTTGAGAATAGAAGCCGCCATAAAGATTTTGTGAACAGTAGCAACAAACGGCGATTTTGCTACAAAATTAGCACAATTCAACCTTCTACAACCACAAAAGTATGGTAAGTTTTTGTATAAATCATCAATGTATCCATTATGTTTATATTTCTCTATAAATGATGCAGAGATTCTAAGCAGAAGATTAAAATTAAGTGAACCATCAAAAATAATCAAGAAAAAACTTAGATTGGCATGAATTTACAAGGATAAACACCGCCTCTAATGCAAGTCCATACGACAATCCAACGCATTAGAGGCGGTGTTCACCGTCTAAGGAAAGGTTGACTCAAGTCTGTGTATTACCGCAACTAATTTGGCCATTTTTGAGCCAAACTTGTGAAAAGTTAACCCCATCTGAATTTAAAAGAAATGAACCATCCCTTGGCAAATCCTGGCTACAGGCCTGTGAACTATTCCTCAGCTGGCTAATTTTTTGAAAAAAGCACATGGTAATGTTTTGTTTTGATGTTTACAAACAAATCATTGATAACGTAAAACAATACATGGTGAATTATGTCATCAGTAGTTTTGAAACACATAGAATCTGTGATAAATAAAGAAGTTTTACGAAACTGAATAAGCCTCATAACGCGAATTATTTTTAAGAAGAGGGAGGATTTAAAAAACGTCTCACGTTTTTGGAAGTTGCATCCCAGGTGCTCCTTTTCGTTGAAATACTCCGTCTACAAACACTCCGTTTTTTCCATTACACTTCATAAAGAAATTCATGTTGTCGAAGTATATCTCAAAATGTACTCGTGATATAAAGCTAGAATGTCCCATGTTTACATCAACGTCCCCTTTGCTTGAATTTCTTCCGACGGTGATTCGACTTTGACGCATCAAATATTCGAAGTCTTTGCCTTCTAGACGGGCAATTGCATCGGCTTTCGGCTCTGCACTCCATTGCACGTTTCTTGCTGGACTTGAAGGTGCCGATTTGAGCGCTAACAGTGCCCAAGCATCGTTATCTGAGGGTTTCTGCAACGTGGACATCACTGTTTTTAGATTCCAAAACACGCCAAAATGGCTGCCGCTAAAAGCAAAACAAGTTTACCTCGTACCCCAATGTTTACACGCGGTTTTAACCATCATGCACCGCTCCAGACAACAACAAAAACAACATAGATGGCAGCAGCATAGTACAGTACCAATTTTTTGATTGTGACACAATATATGAATGAAGTCACCGAACTGATTGTGACTGTCTGTTTGTTGGGTTAATGTCGATATATCTTCATTCCCATAGTAACAATTAGTTGTAAAGCATGTTGTCTCAACAAACAGGACGAAAATAGAATGAAGAAAAGAATGGATCCAACTTGATTGACAAATGGATGGTGCCATGCTGAGTTCATTTCGTCTAGGCCATCGATGAGGGTATAGTATAGATCTTTGTCACGCGGTCGGGTCACAAGAGATAGTGAATATCTAAATTCTAGATCAGTTCTTGAAAATGACCCATCTTTGAATTTACTAGACTAGTATAAAATGTTTTATGCTACTTGATTTTGCGAAAAGTCCCGGATAACAAATAAATTCGGATGAAGGGATTCATCATGTTCTTTAGCAATATATGTATCTCATTACTCACTTAATTTTCATCACAAAATATACGCTGTATGTTTTAATTATATTTCATATGTTGTATACTCATCGTTTGTCAAAATGTCGACCATAATAAATTGAAAATATAACCAGTAAAATAGTGATCACCCCTTTTTATGAATGAGCGCATCCATTTGGTGATCACATGATCAGTCATGTGACTTAAATGTTCACTAAAACTGTTAGTTACTTGACAACGGTAAACAAACAAGTCGTATGTTAAACCAGGTTGGTTCAGTCTTTTTAAGCAGTATTAGATTATTTCCGAGCCTAGCAACAAGACAGCATTGGCTACTTTAGGGCATATTCTTAACATTTCCAGTGTTTGATGAGGAAAGAAACCTGTTAATTTACTATCAGGATAACAAGGATTTAGCTTAGGATCTTACAAAAAATAAAATAAAAAAGATGTCTGCAGCTGCCACACTGAGGAGCAGGGAACAGCCCCCTCAGCCACCTATGTATTCTGCCCCAGGGACAGGATCTGTCCAGCTTGCTGGTGAGACGACATATCACGGTAATGTTGGTAACGATATGGGTATTGCAACTATGGGTTACCGGTCACAAAAATACACACCTCCAGAGTGGCATGAGTCTAACTATGCCAAGTATTACCAAAGTTTTGTTGATAGAGACAGTTCAGAGAGATCCCGCCATGAAGCTAAACGCACCATTAATGAAACAGAAGCACAAACGAACAAAACACAATCGGATGTCACCGATGAATTACAGAAACGACTTCAAGATATCAACTTTTGGAAGTTTGAATTAAATCGTGAAATTGATGACACCATAGAAGAAACAGATATTCTATTAGATCAAAAGAAAAGGCTTGAGAATGCACTTAGAGCCACAGAGATACCACTTCATATAGCAACTGACAACTTGAACTGTCGCCAGAGGAGACAGGGAGTCGATTTAGTCCAGGATGAACCAGAATTATCCCTATTGAAGGTGAGCTTATAACAGATACAATAATTGTTAGGCACCTCCTGATATGAAATAATCTAAAATCTTGGTGTAACATATACACTTATTGTTATTGTTAATATCAGAGGAATCTCATATGACATAATTTACAATCCTGGTATAATATGTACAAGTATTGTTAGTATCAGGGGAACCTCATGGGAACTAATTTAAATTCCTGCTGGTTATTAATGTTTGTTTTCAGTCAATATAGACAAATTATTCATGTCCATTTATATTTTGATATTTCAGGAGGTAGAAATTATCAACAATGTACAGGATCTGCTGAGAAAGACGATAGAACAAGCAGACAAACAAGTCAAGTGAGTTCACCAACTAGATTATTAAATTTATCAGGAACATCTAAGTGTCAATTACTCTGGTGAATAGCTTCACCTATTGACTAGATCTATAAGTTACTTGGGTTACCAATGATGTCCTAGCTATCTTGTATACCAGTAGAAAAATAACAGATTAATTGGGAGCTAAATTAATATAATATTGTAAATGTTAATGCAGTTATCTAAATGCAAATTCAGTGAACACCTTGATTATTTCAGGCGTAATCGTGATGCAAAGCAAGACTTGGAGATGGACTGGAGTGACAAAGTTGAAGCTGAAGAGATCGACTCAAAATGTGGAGTTCTCCGCAATTTCCACACCAATAAGCAATTCCATGCTGGAGCTGCTAAGTTTGAGGAAATCCAATCTACGCCAGAGTCATGGGCCCAGTTCTCTCATGATAACATCGCTAGAGCAGAACACGAGAGGATGGCATCAATTCAGTTGCGTACATTGATTGATAATGTTCTTCAAGACACGTCACGTGATATGCGCGAACAGGCTGATGCTGCTGAAACCTCATTAGCTAAGAGGTTGGATGAAGAAGAAGATGCAAAGGCTAAACTGGAAGATAACCTGAAAAAGGTAAAGAATTATTCTGAGTAAATGTCAGAAAGTTTGTTCCATATAGGATGTCATACATCACATATTAAAAGTATCTAATCCAATGTGGAATCTAAGCTCTTATAAATGCAGCATGACTTTTAGTAATTTCAATTTTATTATCAATAGTAATTACCAATGTTAATTATTCAGATGAATTTATAGATAATTATTGATAATTCATTCACAGGATTTATTTGTGATGTGATTGGATAAGAATGACACAAGAAGCAACAAAACAATTAATTTAACAAATAAAAGAAATAGGCTAAATAATTTATTATTTGCAGACGTGTGATGAAATTGCTACACTAGAGAAGAATATTCGTGATGTGAAGCAAGCGATCAAAGACAAGGAGAACCCAATGAAGGTTGCTCAGACAAGATTGTACCACAGAGCTAACAGGCCAGGAGTTGAGCTTTGTAGAGACCCAGTGCAATACAAGTATGTATAGTCATATTATCTTCTGGTGGCTTACTAGTGTGGGGGAAAATAACATAATATGTCAGATTTATAATGAAACATTTACAGTTTGTCTAATTGAAGCAAAAGTAACTAACAGTTTGATGTTCAATTAAAAAACTGTTTAATTATTAGAATAGTGTCTCCTCCATGATTTGAAGTTGCAGCTCTCTAATGCTTCCTTTCATTTGTTTCAGACTTGTTGGTGAGGTCCAGGAAATTGGTCAGTCTGTTGATGCACTTATGCAGAAACTCAACGATGATGAAAATGCACTTAAAAACTTACAGGACACTAGATTAGCTTTAGAAAAGGAAATTAACATCAAGAAGAACTCAATTTTCATAGACCGCGACAAGGTGTTGTCTCACAGAACCAGATACCCAACCTCGACTAAATTGCAAGGATACCAATAGATTGTTTACTATATGTAGCATAAAACCTTTTCAATAATCAGACTTTTTGTGTAATATAATATCAAATAAGGTTATTTTTACTGAAAGGAAATACATTTTCATATTTTATTTGGTCTTTTGTACCAATCAGGGTTACAAGATTTATTGTGATCATGTGACAGTTATAGTGAAATGCACTGTCAAAGTAATTTACCCATTTGATGTTTGTATATTTATGATTATAATTACATGTTTCTACTTATATACGCAACATTTTGAATATCAATATCCACTTATATTTTGTAGTGCCATATAATGCTCTCAAACAACTTCTGATCATGAGATAATGTCAGTATTAATTTGGATACTGTTGATATAAGTCATCACTTTCTCTGATATAAAGAATATTTCAAGTTAATTTATGGTAAGTGTATAAATGTAAATAGGCACACGTCCCTTTATGGCGTAGCATGTACAGATACGTATAAAGCATGTTCATGCTCATTGTTTTATATAAACGTAAAATAAATGCGAAATTCTATAAAAAATATAAGATGATGAATTGTGTTGTGTTGTAAAAGTTTTTCTAATCTGAAATAGTTTCGAACATTGTCATTTCAAAGAAAACCATGGATTTTTAAAGTTAAATAGGCTCAAGAATTGTCAAATGTATTCGAGAGCGAGTAGCGTTTTGAATATTAGGAAAATATCCATCCCAGGCCCGTAAGACACTTTTCTCCAAGGGGGGTGCGGTTTTTAGCTTACTAAAGAGAATATAAAATTGTCATTTTTTTGCCGCGTAAATCAAATCGCGTAAGACAGAGGGGGGGGGGGGGTGGGTCAGTTACTCCCTATATTGGTTTTGAATTAACAAATGCATGCAACTTCCAAACGTTCCAATTGTTTTGTGGGAGGTGTGAGGAGTGGTCCACTCCCCCTAGAAAATTTTACAGTTTTGAGATGCTATTGGTGCTTTCTGGGCACTTTCAAAGTGTAAGTTTCAAAGTAGTACGCCACCACCACGGGAATAAGAATTGAGTGATTAAAAAACAAAGCATTGAGGGGGGTCTGGGGGTTCTCCCCCAGGAAAATTTTGAAATTTGGTTGTATTTGGAGGGAATTTGCAACCATCTGGTACGCCTGTGCGTTATGAGTCAATATGAAAAATGTGATTTTTTTCAAATTCTTTTGGGGGTGTCAAAGAGGATGAGAGGGTGAAGTGGGGTGGGGTGCCAGTAGGGGAGCAAGGGGTTGTCCCCCAGAAACATTGACCATATCAAGGTGCTATTTGATGATGTCTGGGCACTTAAAAAATGTCTGAGACAATACATGAACTTCAGAATATTTTCTTTTGTTTTGTGGGGGATGTGAGGGGTGGCTAATTCTCCTAGAAAATTTTACAATTTAAAGATGATATTTGGTGCTTCTGGGCACTTTTAAAGTGTATTAGTCAATAAAAACATTGAAAAACAATCACAATATTTTTCAAATTTTGGGGGTGTCAAAGGGGGGGGGGGAGGGGTGCCAGAGGGGGAGGTGGGGCTGGGGTGCCAGAGGGGAAGCAAGTGTTTGCCCCCCATATCGAAATTTACAATATCAAGGTGCTACTCGATGAAGTTTGGGCACTTTAAAAGTGCCTATTTCTCAAGAAAATTTTACAATTTTAAGATGCTATTTGGTGCTTTCTGGGCACTTTCAAAGTGTATGAGTCAATTAAAGAATTTGAGAAAATCACAATTTTTTTTTGGGGGGGGGCAAGGGGGGGGGGCGGAGGAGGGGTTATGCAAGTGCAAGATGCAAGAGGGGGAGTAAGTCCCCCAGAAACACTAACTCTATCAAGGAGCTATTTGATGATATCTGGGCACTTTAAAAGTGTCTGAGACAAAACTCTTAAATAAATTTAGAACTTTTCCATTGTTTTGTGGGGGTGTGAGGGATGGCCAATACCCCTAGAAAATTTTACAATTTCAAGATGCTATTTGGTGCTTTCTGGGTACTTTCAAAGTGTATGAGTCAATGAAAAAAAAATTATAAAAATAAATATTTTTCAAAAAAAAAAATTTTCAAATTTTTTTTTTCAAATTTATTTTGGGGGGTGACAAAGGGGGGTGCGGTCGCACCCATCGCACCCCCCCATCTGACGGCCCTGCATCCTCATGTAATGTATCATGTTTTAGGTCTGACATTTGTACAATAGATGTTTAGTCTGTCTCCTGATTAAAAGATGGCGTGTATGAACATATCGTACAGGGTGACTCCAAATATACAGTCATTTAATATAGGAAAACATTCTTATGGAATCTTCTTACTGATTTTTGATTATTGATTTTATTCACATGTACACCTGTTATACAGAGGGAGAGATTGCAAATAGTAATAATAGTACAACTAGTAAATTGAATTAGTAGAGACCGGGGCCGATCTATAAATGACCTGAAGTAAAGAAATAGCACAAAGACTAGGCCTATACATGACCAGCAGTAATAATACATGACTTAAAACATATTAGTATGCTGATTTATCCTATGTCCAGTAGAGTTTTAGGGAGATAAGTTGGTAAGATATATCCAGAATCCTGATTTTGAGGTTTCCATATCCAGAACCTCCATATCTTCCGCCGCCGTATCTCCCGCTCCAGGCCATATATAGTATCTCCCCTGTTTGAAAAGAAATTGGAAAATATGTGATAAAAAATTGACAAAAATGGATAATAAAAATATTAGAAAACTCTACTGGGTATAGAATAAGGCATTTATGCATTTATGTCGGATTATGGGGTTTAACCCTCGTGAAATATGCACAACTACCTTCGGTCCCTCGGGTAGATAATGCATATCTTCCTCTGGATAAACCCAATATCCAAAACCTCACAGTACATAACCCTTATGTATCAGGCCAGCACAAAAATAGCTAAAACGTATCTAGGCATTAAGTAATTAATCGTCCGATTAAAGTACTTCAATTGTAAATTCAAGGCATATCATCGTCGTGAGATATATATTGGGTTCCCATGATTGGGTTGCATTCAAGTGTCATTTTATATCTAAAATAATCTAATGAATAATTAAATTATCATCTTTCTTGTCCAAACATTACGTTCAATTATTGCAGGATCTATTGACATGAAAGTGCATCAAATTAGATTCTCTCAATGAAAATGAGATGTGAATGTGATTGAAATCGATGTCAGTAACATGTTGCCAGTTCTCAGAGTTTCTGTCCCATCATTCCAAAAATATAACAAACTGCATACCTAGAACATCTCTTCAAGATGATCAACATTTTCTGCAAAAGTCAATTCAAGATAAAAAAAACAAACAATATGTATCGCCTCCTCAAAATCCAATTCATGGAAAAATATTCATTTGAGTAAATAAAACTTTTCAACACTAGACCTATTGTTCCCGTTAAATGTTTTGAACTTCTGTTATTACATCATTATTCCTGACACTTTTTCTTTCCAAAGATCAACTCTGGGACAAATACTTTTGACCCTCGTTTGCTGGATATTTACTTTATCATTGATGAACTGGATTCCAATGTTCTCAAGTTTCAATGAATATAGATTGTTCAGACACACACCGGAATAGCCTGACAACGGTAAAGTCAAATACCGTTGTTACAAATGGCGGACATAACCGTCGCTTCAACTCTTCAATCACTTGGTCCTCATTTCATGGTACTTTATCGTCGTTAATTCTGTGCATGTATTAAGCTCTTGTGTACCCTTTGCATTCGTTTGACTTCACTTCTTAAAAGAGAGCTTCGTCTGTAGTTTAACTAGACTCTGCACGCAGGGTAGCTCTTGTGATGGTGTATCATATGAAATCCCAATTTCGATCAAATTGGGTCGTGAATTGCCACAATATAGCGTCTTCGATATCGTCAATGACAACGAAATCTGAATTTGAAATAAGTCCGTTGTCCCGTTTCTCATTTTGATCGGCTGAATTAAAGACTTTATTTCGATGGTAGAACATTATTAATTGTACAATGAGTATAAAGGCACTTTGATTGATTATTGTTCCAAAGGAATTTAGTCTGGGTGCTCTATTAAACCTACAGTTCATGAAAATCTAATTGAAGCGACGGTTATGTCCGCCATTTGTGACGACGTTATCTGACTTTACCGTTGTCATGCTATTCCGGTGTGAGACAGCCTGGTCAGAAACAATGAACCAAACGCTATCTTAACAACCTAGGAATCAAATTCACCAGAATCCAATCACACCGGAATAGCCTGAAAACGGTAAAGTCAGATACCGTTGTCACAAATGGCGAACATAAACGTCGCTTCAACTCTTGAATCACTTTGTCCTCGTTTCATGGGACATAATCGTCGCTAATTCTGTGCATGTATTAAGTTCTTGTGATGGTGTATCATATGAAATCCCAATTTTGATCAAATTGGGTCGTGAATCGCTACAATATAGCGTCTTCGATACCCGGGCTTCGATATCGTCAATGGCAACGAAATCTGAATTTGAAATAAGTCCGTTTTCCCGTATCTCATTTTGATCGGTTGAATTAAAGACTTTATTTCGATGGAAGAACTTTTATTAACTGTACAATGAGTATAAAGGTACTTTGATTGATTGTTGTTCCAAAGGAATTTAGTCTAGGTGCTCAATTAAACCTACGGTTCATGAAAATCTAATTGAAGCGACGGTTCTGTCCGCCATTTGTGACAACGGTATCTGACTTTACCGTTGTCAGGCTATTCCGGTGTGAGACAGCCTGGTCAGAAACAATGAACCAAACGCTATCTTAAAGGCAGGGCTCCACTATAAAAGCAGAATGTCAGTTAGAAAATGATGTAATAGCATGTTTGAAAATTTAAATGTCCACAGAATCTGACACCTCAGACCTGTTTTTCCATATATCCCTAGTATTTTTGCATGGAATCAGCTAAACTTTGTCACAGTTATTCATGAATATATTCTGAATCTGATGGTAATTTCAAATTTAAATAGTAGTTCCTATCTGGCTTGAAAATGTAAAGTAATTTATAAAACTGTTATAGCAGTTATATAATAAGCTGCATCAAAATTGGGTTGTAGTTAAATTTACCACATGGTAAGGAATCCCTGCCTTTAACAACCTAGGAATCAAATCCACCAGAATCCAATCACACCGTAATAGCCTGACAACGGTAAACTCAGATACTGTTGTCACAAATGGCGGACATAAACGTAGCTTCAACTCTTTAATCACTTTGGCCTCGTTTCATGGGACTTTATCGTCGCTAATTCTGTGCATGTGTTAAGCTCGTGTGATGATGTATTATATGAAATCCCAATTTCTATCAAATGGGGTCGTGAATGTATTGCATTGGGACATAGGCAAATGACAACGGTAAATGTACACTTTACCGTACCGTTGTCTTTACATATACCCTGGGAATTAATACTTATTCCAAGATATACCGTTGTCAAATATTACCGTTGTCATCTCGATTTTGCATCACATTTGACCCAAACCTACCGTTGTCATTTATACAGTATCCGTTGTCCGGTGTCATATTCAAGATCTTGATCTTGCATGGGGTAAAGA